CCCTGAATGTCCCTCACTCTCCTTCTGAGTCTCTCCCTCTTCCTCTGACTCACTTCCTCCGACTCATTTCCTCCAGAAAGCCCTCACTCTTCCTGTAAGTCACCTCCCCTCAAAGTCCCTCACTCTTCCTCTGTCACCTCCTACAGAAGTCCCTCACTTTCCTTCTGAATCATGTGCCTTGAAAGTCCCTCACTCTCCCTCTGAGTCACCTCCTGAGAAAACCCTCACTCTTCCTCTGAGTCACTTCCCACAGAAGTCCCACACTCTCCCTCTGAGACACCTCCCCTAAAAGTCCCTCACTCTGCCTCTGTCACCTCCCCTAAAAGTCCCTCACTGTCCCTCTGAGTCCTTTCCCTTACAAGTCCCTCACTCTCCCTCTGAGTCACCTCCCCTAAAAGTCCCTCACTCTGCCTCTGTCACCTCCCCTAAAAGTCCCTCACTGTCCTCTGAGTCCTTTCCTTACAAGTCCCACACTCTCCTCTGAATCACCTCCCCTGAAAGTCCCTCACTCTACCTCTGAGTCACCTCCCCTAAAAGTCCTCACTTTCCCACTGACTCTCTCTCTCTCCCTCTGAGTCCTTTCCCTTACAAGTCCCTCACTCTTCCTCTGAATCACCTCCCCTAAAAGTCCCTCACTTTCCCACTGAATCACCTCCTGAGAAAACCTCACTCTTCCTCTGAGTCACTTCCCACAGAAGTCCCACACTCTCCCTCTGAGACACCTCCTCTAAAAGTCCCTCATTCTGCCTCTGTCGTCTCCCCTAAAAGTCCCTCACTGTACCTCTGTCACCTCCCCTAAAAGTCCCGCTGTCCCTCTGAATCACCTCCCCTGAAAGTCCCTCACTCTACCTCTGAGTCACCTCCCCTAAAAGTTCATTGCCGTCCCTCTGAATCACCTCCCCTGAAAGTCCCTCACTCTCCCTCTGAGTCACCTCCCCTAAAAGTCCCTCACTCTGCCTCTGTCACCTCCCCTAAAAGTCCCTCACTGTCCCTCTGAGTCCTTTCCCTTACAAGTCCCACACTCTCCCTCTGAATCACCTCCCCTGAAAGTCCCTCACTCTACCTCTGAGTCACCTCCCCTAAAAGTCCCTCACTTTCCCACTGACTCTCTCTCTCTCCCTCTGAGTCCTTTCCCTTACAAGACTCTCACTCTTCCTCTGAGTCACCTCCCCTAAAAGTCCCTCACTTTCCCACTGACTCTCTCTCTCTCCCTCTGAGTCCTTTCCCTTACAAGTCCCTCACTCTTCCTCTAAGTCACCTCCCCTAAAAGTCTCTCACTGTCCCTCTGAGTCTTTTCCCTTACAAGTCCCTCACTCTCCCTCTGAGTCTCCTCCCTGAGAAAACCCTCACTCTTCCTCTGAGTCACTTCCCACAGAAGTCCCACACTCTCCCTCTGAGACACCTCCCCTAAAAGCCCCTCACTCTGCCTCTGTCACCTCCCCTAAAAGTCCCTCGCTGTCCCTCTGAGTCACCTCCCCTAAAAGTCCCTCACTTTCCCACTGACTCTCTCTCTCTCCCTCTGAGTCCTTTCCCTTACAAGTCCCTCACTCTTCCTCTGAGTCACCTCCCCTAAAAGTCCCTCACTTTCCCACTGAATCACCTCCCTGAGAAAACCCTGACACTCCCTGGAAGTCACCTCCCCTAAAAGTCCCTCACTGTCCCTCTGAGTCAACTCCCACAGAAGTCCTTCACTCTCCCTCTCAGTCATCTCCCACACAATTCCCACACTCTCTCTCTGAGTCTCTTCTCTGCCTCTGAGTCACTTCCCCTAAAAGTCCCTCACTGTCCCTCTGAATCACCTCCCCCGAAAGTCCTCACTCTTCCTCTGAGTCACCTCCTTGAGAAAACCTCACTCTTCCTCTGACTCACTTCCCACAGAAGTCCCACACTCTCCCTCTGAGTCACTTCCCTAAAAGTCCCTCACTGTCCTCTGAATCACCTCCCCTGACAGTCCTCACTCTCCCTCTGAGTCACCTCCTGAGAAAACCCTCACTCTTCTCTGAGTCACTTCCCACAGAAGTCCCACACTCTCCCTCTGAGACACCTCCCCTAAAAGTCCTCGCTCTGCCTCTGTCACCTCCCCTAAAACCTCACTTTCCCACTGAATCACCTCCCTGAGAAAACCCTGACACTCCCTGGAAGTCACCTCCCCAGAAGTCCCTCACTGTCCCTCTGAGTCAACTCCCACAGAAGTCCTTCACTCTCCCTCTCAGTCATCTCCCACACAATTCCCACACTCTCTCTCTGAGTCTCTTCCTCTGCCTCTGAGTCATTTCCCCTAAAAGTCCCTCACTGTTCCTGTCAGTTACCTCCCCTAAAAGTCCCTCACTCTCCTGTAAGTCACCTCTCCTACAAGTCCCTCACTCTTTCTCTGAGCCATGTCCCTGAATGTCCCTCACTCTCCTTCTGAGTCTCTCCCTCTTCCTCTGACTCACTTCCCGACTCATTTCCTCCAGAAAGCCCTCACTCTTCCTGTAAGTCACCTCCCCTCAAAGTCCCACTCTTCCTCTGTCACCTCCTACAGAAGTCCCTCACTGTCCTCTGAATCACCTCCCTGAAAGTCCCTCACTCTTCCTGTGAGTCACCTCCTTGAGAAAACCCTCACTCTTCCTCTGAGTCACTTCCCACAGAAGTCCCACACTCCCCTCTGAGACACCTCCCCTAAAAGTCCCTCGCTCTGCCTCTGTCACCTCCCCAAAAGTCCCTCACTGTCCTCTGAGTCCTTTCCCTTACAAGTCCCTCACTCTCCCTCTGAGTCACCTCCCTAAAAGTCCTCACTCTGCCTCTGTCACCTCCCCTAAAAGTCCCTCACTGTCCCTCTGAGTCCTTTCCTTACAAGTCCCACACTCTCCCTCTGAATCACCTCCCCTGAAAGTCCCTCACTCTACCTCTGAGTCACTCCCCTAAAAGTCCCTCACTTTCCCACTGACTCTCTTCTCTCTCCTCTGAGTCCTTTCCCTTACAAGTCCCTCACTCTTCCTCTGAATCACCTCCCCTAAAAGTCCTCACTTTCCCACTGAATCACCTCCCTGAGAAAACCCTCACTCTTCCTCTTGAGTCACTTCCCACAGAAGTCCCACACTCTCCCTCTGAGACACCTCCTCTAAAGTCCCTCATTCTGCCTCTGTCGTCTCCCTAAAAGTCCCTCACTGTACCTCTGTCACCTCCCCTAAAAGTCCCTCGCTGTCCCTCTGAATCACCTCCCCTGAAAGTCCCTCACTCTACCTCTGAGTCACCTCCCCTAAAAGTCCCTCACTTTCCCACTGACTCTCTCTCTCTCCCTCTGAGTCCTTTCCCTTACAAGACTCTCACTCTTCCTCTGAGTCACCTCCCCTAAAAGTCCCTCACTTTCCCACTGACTCTCTCTCTCTCCCTCTGAGTCCTTTCCCTTACAAGTCCTCACTTCTTCCTCTGAGTCACCTCCCTAAAAGTCCCTCACTGTCCCTCTGAGTCTTTTCCTTACATCCCTCACTCCTCTCTGAGTCACCTCCCTGAGAAAATCCTCACTCTTCCTCTGAGTCACCTCCCCTAAAAGTCCCTCACTGTCCCTCTGAGTCTTTTCCCTTACAAGTCCCTCACTCTCCCTCTGAGTCTCCTCCCTGAGAAAACCCTCACTCTTCCTCTGAGTCACTTCCCACAGAAGTCCCACACTCTCCCTCTGAGACACCTCCCCTAAAAGTCCCTCACTCTGCCTCTGTCACCTCCCTAAAAGTCCTCGCTGTCCCTCTGAGTCACCTCCCTAAAAGTCCCTCACTTTCCCACTGACTCTCTCTCTCTCCCTCTGAGTCCTTTCCCTTACAAGTCCCTCACTCTTCCTCTGAGTCACCTCCCTAAAAGTCCCTCACTTTCCCACTGAATCACTCCCTGAGAAAACCCTGACACTCCCTGGAAGTCACCTCCCCTAAAAGTCCCTCACTGTCCCTCTGAGTCAACTCCCACAGAAGTCCTTCACTCTCCCTCTCAGTCATCTCCCACACAATTCCTACACTCTCTCTCTGAGTCTCTTCCTCTGCCTCTGAGTCACTTCCCCTAAAAGTCCCTCACTGTCCCTCTGAATCACCTCCCCTGACAGTCCCTCACTCTCCCTCTGAGTCACCTCCCTGAGAAAACCCTCACTCTTCCTCTGAGTCACTTCCCACAGAAGTCCCACACTCTCCCTCTGAGACACCTCCCTAAAAGTCCCTCGCTCTGCCTCTGTCACCTCCCCTAAAAGTCCCTCACTTTCCCACTGAATCACCTCCCTGAGAAAACCCTGACACTCCCTGGAAGTCACCTCCCCAGAAGTCCCTCACTGTCCCTCTGAGTCAACTCCCACAGAAGTCCTTCCACTCTCCTCTCAGTCATCTCCCACACAATTCCACACTCTCTCTCTGAGTCTCTTCCTCTGCCTCTGAGTCATTTCCCCTAAAAGTCCCTCACTGTTCCTGTCAGTTACCTCCCCTAAAAGTCCCTCACTCTCCCTGTAAGTCACCTCTCCTACAAGTCCCTCACTCTTTCTCTGAGCCATGTCCCCTGAATGTCCCTCACTCTCCTTCTGAGTCTCTCCCTCTTCCTCTGACTCACTTCCTCCGACTCATTTCCTCCAGAAAGCCCTCACTCTTCCTGTAAGTCACCTCCCCTCAAAGTCCCTCACTCTTCCTCTGTCACCTCCTACAGAAGTCCCTCACTTTCCTTCTGAATCATGTGCCTTGAAAGTCCCTCACTCTCCCTCTGAGTCACCTCCCTGAGAAAACCCTCACTCTTCCTCTGAGTCACTTCCCACAGAAGTCCCACACTCTCCCTCTGAGACACCTCCCCTAAAAGTCCCTCACTCTGCCTCTGTCACCTCCCCTAAAAGTTCATTGCCGTACCTCTGAATCACCTCCCCTGAAAGTCCCTCACTCTCTCTCTGAGTCACCTCCCCTTAAAGTCCTTCACTCTCTCTCTGAGTTGCCTCATCCACAAGCCGCAGACCTCGATCCAGAAGACCTCCTTCCTTCCTTCTACCTGAGTTTCCTTACCCAGAAGTCCCTCATAATTCTCTGATTCAGTCTTCAGAAGCCCATGGATTCTTTTAACAGCCCCCATCTGAATCTCCATGTCTGCCAGGTTCCTCACCATCCAGTTTAGGTAGTTGGACACCTATGGAGAACGCCAGGCCACAGGAAAGGGGATCACTGTCTTTCATCACAGATGGAACAGAATACAAGTAACCTTGGGCGTTTGGACTTTTGGACTCATTAGATTGTAAGCTCCTTGAAGGCAGGGACTGTTTTTTGGTCTCTTTTTATCTCCCTGCCTCTTAGCACAGTAGTTGCCACATAGTAGGAGTTAATTAACATGTATTGATTGATTAATTTGGGAGCAGATCATTCAGTTCTCTGTCTGTAGTGGAATGTAGGGATGATGTGGTGACCTCACTCCTAAAACTGGGACCTGAAGTTAGGCAGTGCAAGGGATTGACATTTTCATTGTCATAAGAAGGGAAAGCTAGAAGAGTGGGGAGATTCTACAACTGGGGGAAAGGGATTTGGGTGAATAGGTTATAGGAGCGAACTGCCTATGGGACCTTTGTTCCCAACACAGCACTCAGTGGGGCATGCAATATATCCAGCCTTGTGGTAGAGGTATCATTTTTCCATTCAGTCCAGCTCCAGCAGTGATTCCTGACCCGCTTTGAACTGGGGATGGGGGTGGGAGTTGGGAACAGCATGAAGTCTAGTAAACTCCTCTACCTAAGAGTTGTGGGTAAGTCTGACCTGAAAGAGTTGGGGACTCCAAGACACTGATCATTTGGTGTTGGTGATCCATGAGGGATAAGGCCCCTCATTCTTTCCTTAAGGGATCCACCTTGCCTCACTCACCATTAGGGCATAGGTGATGCCCAGCCCCACCAGCCCTGCAGGCAGCTCCTTGTGCAGGGATTTGGTGATGGAAGCCACAGCAGCTATGAGGACCACACAGGCACCAATGTATTCCTGCAAGAATGAGATTGCTCCTTAGGCATCATGAGCACCCCACGTAGTCTTCCTGGAAATCCTTCCGTACCCTACCCTGAGCCACACTCTACGCAGGTAAAGGCTTCACACACACACACACAACACACACACACACACACACACTCTCTCTCTCTCTCTCTCACATATACACACTTTCTCACACACACACATACACTCTCATACACACACACACTCACATACACACACTCACACAGACACACATACACTCACACACACTGTCACGCAGACACACACACTCACATACACTCTCATACATACACACACTCACATACACACTGTCACACAGACACACACATACACTTACACACACACATACACTCACTATCACACACTCATACACACACTCTCTCACACAGACACACACATACACTCACACATTCTCACATGCACACTCTCACACAGACACACACACACACACACACAGTCCCCCCTATGAGTAGTAGTGATGGCTTCATACACACATTTTTGCATACACTTCATCCACACAATGTAGACAGATGATGCAGCAGAAACTACCACATTTGACACACACACGTCTTCACCCATATTCATACGTACATATGTGTGTGTGTATACATATACATGTATACACACACACACACACACACACATATATATACATTATATTCATATACACATAGGGAGTAAGAAGACAGATGAGGAAAGGTGAGAAGAATAGACAGAGAGAGGAACAGATGACCTGAGGGAGGGAGGCTGCAGTCTGGTCTTTGCCACTGACTAGCTGTGACGCTTTGGGCAGGTTGCCTGCTCTGGGATGATTCTAGCCGTTTTATCACACATGCCTTACCTTCATGTATTCTATGATGCAGCCACACTGGATTTCCTTGCCCTTCTCCCCTCTGCTCCCATCTCTTCCTATCCTCTCTCATGTCCGTGCCTTGTTCATCATTATCTATGCCTAGAATGGACTCCACTCCCATTTCACCTCCACCCTGAAGGTTACTTCTTTTGAAGCAATTTCTCCTTCAGGTAGCAAGGTGTTTGAGGTTATATTTCTCTTTACATCCTTGGTGGCCAGCACAGGGCCCCAAATACAGCATATAAATGCTTGCTGGGTGAATTGAGTCTGAGAAAAGAGACTGTTCCACTGAGAGATCTCTGAAGTCCTCTCTAGCACTCACATTTTTACTATTATTCTGATTTATACTGTATAGATGGATAATTCTAGTGAGGTGGCTGGGTGAGTTTGGGGTCAGGGAGATCTGAGTTCAAATCCTACATCAGACACTTAACTAGCTGTGAGTGTGGGCAAGTCACTTTAACCACCCCATGCTTCAGTTTCCTTATCCGTAAAATGGGAATATTAGTACCTACTTCACTGGTTGTGAGCACCAAATGAGATCACATGTAAAATGCCTGCAAATCTTAAAGAGCTATATAAATGATGATGATGAGGAAGATGAGGATGAGGATGACTCCTTCTTCCTTGTCTTCTCCCTCCTCCCAACCAGACAACTTGGACTTTCTATGACCAAAACACCTTTTTAATTTTAATCTATTAATCTGTAGATTCCTCACCCTCACCTCTGAAGGCTGTTTTTGGATATACCCTTGACTCTCACCCCCAAAACTTCCTCTTACTCCCCAAGGGGTCTGGACTTGCCATTCGGACTTCCAGCCATCGGTTGGCAGCCGTGAGGAAGAGTGAGGCAATGTTGTTGGAATCAGTGTACTTGAGAAGCTTCTGTTGGAACAAGGCCTCATACCTGCAAGAGGAGGTGAAAGGTGGGCCAGTGAGTGCACATCGGGTCCACTCCTTTCCTGAGATTCTCTGTATGCCCTGGGCAAATCACTTCACCCTGTTTGCCTCAGTTTCCTCATCTGTGAAAGGGGCTGGAGAAGGAAACGGCAAGCCACGTCAGCATCTTTGCCAAGAAAACCCCAAACGGGGTCCCAGAGGCGGATGTGACTGAAACCACTCAACAACCACTCTGATTCCAAGTTTATTAGTTTTTGTGCTATATCAGGATCTCTTTATTCTTTTCGTGTCATGGATCCATGTGACAGTCTGGTGAAGACTAGGGACACCTCCTCAGGATAATGTCTTTAAACGCATCAATTAAAGCACATAGGATTATAAAAGAAACCAATTATATTGAAACATGAGTCATCAAAATATGAAACAAAAACTAAGTTCATGGACCCCAGATCCAGAACCCCTGTCCTATTGTTTCTCTGCCTGGGGAAGGGCTCCAGTGACGGAGAATTCCCTAACACTGGAGGTGAGCCATTTCACATTTAAATAGCTCAGAGCCTTGTTCAGCTCCGAAAGATCTCAGAGATCATCTAGTCATTTTACAGATGAGGAAATGGAAGTCCAGAGTGGTTAATTTTTTTTTTTTAGGCAATTGGGGTTAAGTGACTTGCCCATGGTCACAGAGCTAGTAAGTATCAAGTATCTGGTCTGAGGCTGGATTTGAACTCAGGACCTTCTGACTTCAGGGCTGGTTCTCTATTCACCTCGCCACCTAGCTGCCCCTCTAGAGTGGTTCATTGACTTGCCCAAACTCACACAGTGATTCAAAATGGGATCCACACTCAGGTCCTTTGTCTCTAGAGACAATGTCTTTTTTTTTTCCCCTCCCAGTATACCACGATGCTTAATGATTTCTAATTATAAACTTCAACACACTGTTTTTAAGTTTTCTCTTTTGTGGCCCGGCAGAAAAAGCCCAATTCCTTTCCCATGTGACAGCCTTTCTAACACAGTGTCCTTGCATCCCAGGTGACCCCATAATGCTGTTCAAATGCCCGGAAGCTGTCATTGTGTGCCCTATGGATCTTGACCTGGTCAGTCATCGCTCTGCCAGCCTCTAGGTCATTGCCCAGATGGCCTGTGACCTTCTGACCGCTCCTCCCCCCATGGTGTGGATGGATGGGAGGATGGGCCTGTACCTGAATGCTCTGATGGTGGTGAGACCTTCCATCGTCTCTGAGAAGTGGGAGAGCAGGGGTAGCTGGGTGCTGTCGTCCAACTGCTGCAGGTCCCTGTGAGAAAACCGGGTGATTCTAATAGCCTTAACTCACACTCACGTGGGTGCCCTGCCCTGCACTTGCCTGAGCGAGTAAGGGGAGGGAATAAGCAATTATATGGCACCTACTTTGTGCCAGGTACTATGCTGAGTGCTTTACAAGTGTTATCACATTTGATTTTCATGACAATCCTAGGAGGTAGGTACTGAAATCCACATTTTACTTAAGGAAACTGAGGTTAAGTGACTTGCCCAAGGTCACACAGTCAGTAAGTGTCTGAGGCCAGATTTGTACTTAGGTCCTCCCGACTCCAGGCCTGGTGCTCTATCTGCTGTACCACCTAGTTGTCTTGATTACACCCAAACACTTGGGGTGGTAGGTTTCTTTTTGGACCAGACCTATAATTTCATTTGTATGGGGAAGTCCCTCTACAGATGCAGATCAGAAACTTGTCTGTAACTTATTATCTTAAGAGAATTGCCTGGGACACTAAGCTATTAAGTGACCTGGCCAGAAATTTAGGCTTTATGTGTTGGAGACAGGACTGAACCTATAAATTCCTGACTCCAAGGCTGGCTTTTTAGGATTCCGCGATATCTCTGTAGGCAGACATTATTACCCCCATTTTACAGATGTGGAAGGTGTGGTTTAGAAACAGTCAGACAGGTGACAGGAATAGGGCTGACATGTATGTGTCCTAAACCCTGGTCGGCTAATCCTTTATTACACTTCAATAACCCAGTGAGCTGGGGCTCACAAGGTGGTTTGGGGCCAGGGAAAGCCCTATCTCTGATGGGTACCAAGTGAAGAATAAGTGTCTAGGATCATAAGATTACAGATTTAGAACTATAAGGGGTCACCGAGTCCAACCCCCTCACTTTACAGATGAGGAAACTAAGGGAAGTCAAGTGACTTGCCTAGGATCACCCAGCTAGTAAGCACTCAAGGCAGGATTTTAACCTCTATCGTCCTGAATCCTGAATCTGGTACTCTATCCATTATGCCATCTGGAATCCTCAGTCTAAACATTCCTTATGATATTTCTTCCAAGTTCACCCAGGTATAGCCCTGGGGATCTGAGGTGCAAAGTTTGATGTTGAAGGTCCCACAAAGGGGAGTCAGTACAGCACCAATGCTGTGGATATGAGTGGCAACATTAAGGAGAAAAAGTAGGATGGTTCCTATGGCAACCTAAGCCTTACCCACCCAACCCCCTGAACGCTTTGAGGAGTACACTGTAGAGTTCTGAAGACTTTGGCATATGCCCTCCATGTTACTGCCACAGCCCAGAGTAGATAGGACAACTTTCCCTGTGCCTATTGAATATAAGCCCTCTTCATCCAGTGTGGGAGACAGAAGGTCAAGGCAGTTCCCTGAGCGGCCCAAGTGAGCTTCGGGGAAACACCACACGGAGTGTTTAGAGTCAATGTCAACTGCAAACACAGAAATTGTTGAATTTCTTCATGTGGGCATCCAGTTTATAGAGGTAGCAAAATTATCTGACAATCTAGATTATGTAAACAAAAAAAAAGTACCATTTTTCTTTGAAATCGTGGATAGACTTGCAGGTCAGTGTTTCCTAACCACTGGGCTCTAGCAGAGTTCAACTGGTCTGTAAAGATTTTGCAGGCTATCAAAAGTTCTCACTCCTCAAAACCTATCATCTTTAATGAACAGGCTCCTTCTCCCTGTATCCTGCTTTTCCTTCTCCTCAGTGGCTGGTGTCCCACCCCTAGGTCACTGCAGCTTCCTGTTGGGAATGTCCCTGTGGCCAAATGCAGATGACTGCAGCCCGAGTATGAACTTAAGTTACTAACACAATGACTTTCACAACCAACTTCCCATGAGGGGTAAAAAATCTTTCCCAGAAACAAAAGTTACCTGGATGCCACCCGGAAGTACTTCTGGATGAAGTAGCACACGATGGCCAGAGGCAGGAGGGCAATGAGGAACACAGGGGTGACGTAGGAGATGACGGCTAGCGCAGAGACACAGAGCATCGTGGAGCGACTCAGGCACTCCAACGTGGAAGGGATGTGCTAAAAGGAGATCAGGAAAGAGAGAGGAAGGAGAATTGGGGTGAAGGTCCAAATAGGAAGTGTTTATTAATTTCCCAGAATTCACTAACCTACCATGACCTTCTCCTTCCTGGCCACCCACGACATATTCCAGAGACGCAACTTGGGTAAGGTGACCGGAAGTTTGTTCTAGACCACCAAGACTGGGTGGGGTGTGGAGTGCTTTTTTTGGGGGAGGGAGGTTGGTCCATCCCCCTCTATATCATGGGCTTCCATTGCCCTGCACCATGTGCTACTCCCAGTCCTTCACCTAGGCTTCCACTTCAAGGCTTCCTCCCCAAGAGAGCCCCTCTTTTACGACCTGCCTTCCTGCCACTCTGCTGAAGGCAGTGGCAGAGTCTCTGGGCGAAGGGCTACCTCCTCTCCTGAAGCAACTGCATTCTTGTTTGTCCAGACCGCTGCACTACTGTCTTCCCCATCCCCATCAGACTGTCCCCTGCATGCCAACAACTGCTATTGTTACTCGCCCCTCCCCTACGTTGGGCTGCCATCTCTGCTGTTTCCTGTACCTGTACTCTGGGTCACTGCCACCATCTCACTACCTTAAAAGAATTCCTCAATACATCTTAGACACTATCCGTCCGCATCACGCACTTGGTGCTTTTGCTATCTTTAATTATTTGCCAGTCATTTCAATGACAAGAGTGTGGTCTCTCTAAGTAGAATGTGTATACACTCCTTATGGACGGGCACTGTATCTTATTAATCTTCTGTATCCCTCCCAGAACTCAGCGTAAGTGTCCATAATAGGTGTTCAGTAAATGTTGAATTGATTCTCCCTACAACAAGAGTTATTACTGAAACCTAGCTGTACTAGTAGGACCTGTAGTACAGCTAGTTATCATAACAGATAGAAGGTCTGCCCTCAAGGCAAAGTCCTGGGTTCAAATCCAGCCTCAGATACTTACTAGCTACATGGCCCTGGACAAGTCACTTAGCCTTTGCCTGCCTCAGTTTCCTCATCTGTAATACTACCTACTTCCCAGGGTTCCTGTGAGGATAAAATGAGATGATATTTATAAATTGCTCTGCAAACCTTAAAGTACTGTAGAATTTATATATATTATAATTGGAGCCGATGTTAGTATAATGTAGGGGTTTTTTTTGAGATTCTAACCCAAAATGTTTAGAAATACTGGTCAGGCTTTGTCATAATGCTGTCCCTCTCAATAAAGTTATCTCATGCATTGAGGACAAGGTTACAACAAGGATTCAGAGTTTCATCACAAGCAAGGATTCAAGGCAGTTGATCTGTGGGAGCAGGAAGGCAACAGCGTTTTCATTGGTCTTAAACAAAGGCATCAAGGGGCAGCTAGGTGGCGCAGTGGATAGAGCACCGGCCCTGGATTCAGGAGGAACTGAGTTCAAATACGGCCTCAGACACATAACACATACTAGCTGTGTGACCCTGGGCAAGTCACTTAACCCCATTGTCTAGCCAAAAGAAAAAAACAAAACAAAACAAAACAAAAAACGAAGGCATCAATCTCTCCCACTCTGAGGCTGTCTATAGCTAGAATATAAAAGCAGGGGCGTCCAAGGCTGGTATTTCCTAAACTGGCTTTTACTCAACGGCTGTAAAATTTTTGAAAGTAGGGTGAACAAGAGTGCCAGGTGAGACCTTGTTATGGCACAACAGTATAATTTGTGGGAAACTGGTTACCTGGATGGCTTTCCTTATGTGTCTGTGTTCTTGTGTGTGTGTGTGTGTGTGTGTGTGTGTGTGTGTGTGTGTGTGTGTGTATGCATCCTGGGGAAGGTATGGTACACTGGGTTGTACTTGGAGTTGCCTGAAGTTTTAGGGGCACGCTATACACTAAAGAGTTTGGTATTAATTACTGTCAAAAGGTCATAAACACCTGTGTCCTTCACATCACCTTCTGAGTCCTTCCCTCTCCTCTCAAGTGTACTTGTATCAAATACTTTGGGACCTGGCACAGGGTTAGGCAGCAGGGAGAGCATGTGTTTGTTCATTTTCCGGCAGGGAATTTCTCCCCCCGAACTCACAGGATGACATGATCTAAGAAAAGACCTTGGACGATCCCAGCCTCTCCTTCCCTTTTGAGCACATGGAAACTGGACCTCAGATCTCATTACCTGGTCAATTGTGTTACAGTCAGATGAAAATCTGTTCAGGATGCTTCCAAGTGGAGTTGTCTCAAAAAACCTAAGAGACAGCAAGACAAAAGGAAAGCCACTCATTCCAGCACCTGTTCATGATGTAAGTGTATTTATTTAGCAATTTATTTCAAGTGCGTATCTAGGCTCTGGTTCCCAGAACTGCTTCTTCCTATTCCTCTCCTACCCCAGAGTGCAGTACAGCCCCTCCCGGCTCCCATCTGTCCAGGCTGCTGTGGGAACACACGGTGCAATGACATGTGATGTAGTGCATAGAGATTCAGCCTCAAAGCCAGAAGTCCTGGGTTCAAGGACTGCTGCTGACATATTCTGGCTATGTGAACCTGGGCAAGTCACTTAAGTACTCTAGGCACCATAAGTTGCAGAAAAGTACCAGTCTGTACCAGTAGAGGGTTTTCTTTCAGTTATGAGTTCCTAATCCCTACAATCAGGCTTTGATGCATGATATCAACACAAATATCTGAGTAACAAAAAGTTAAAAAAAATTCAGCCATACAATTGGAGGTGGGGTGAGGTAGAGGGTTTATAAAATATCAGATAAGAATGCCTGACTGTTTACTGATTGAAGAGTAGGCATGTGGACTATTAGCCAACCATGGACACCAAATCGATTGTAAGCTGAGGCTGCTGTGGAAGGAAGTGACCGAATCCATAACCTTTGGTCTGAATAGAATAGAGAAATGAGGAGTAGCAGGGGATGATGGTGCCTCACTGGGCAAGGGAGGAGAGAACTCTTTTCATGGGGGTGTGTGGGAAGGGGGAACCATGTACCTCAGGGGAAAGGGAATAGAGGACTCCACTGGGGAGGTAGAAAGCTGCTTCAGTGGGGAAAAGGAGAGGGAGGATAAAGGATATGGGCACTTCCCTGAGGAGAGGATGAGAATACTTGATAGAGAGAGGAGACAAGGAGGCATGTCTATGTGGTGGGGAGGAGACCAGGAGGCATCTCAGTGAGGTGGGGAGGAGACAAGGAGGCACGTCTGCATGTGGGGAGGAGACAAGGAGGCATCTCAGTGAGGTGGGGAGGAGAAAAGGAGGCACGTCTGCGCGGTGGGGAGGAGACCAGGAGGCACGTCTGCGCCGGTGGGGAGGAGACCAGGAGGCACGTCTGCGCCGGTGGGGAGGAGACCAGGAGGCATGTCTGAGCGGTGGGGAGGAGACGAGGAGGCATGTGTGTGCGCGGTGGGGAGGAGACGAGAAGGCATGTGTGTGCGCGGTGGGGAGGAGACTAGGAGGCATGTCTGAGTGGTGGGGAGGAGACCAGGAGGCATCTCAGTGAGGTGGGGAGGAGACGAGGAGGCATGTGTGTGTGCGGTGGGGAGGAGACCAGGAGGCATGTGTGTGCGGTGGGGAGGAGACCAGGAGGCATGTGTGTGCGCGGTGGGGAGGAGACCAGGAGGCATGTGTGCATGGTGGGGAGGAGAAAAGGCAGCTTGTGTGTGGTGGGAAGTAGGAAGGATGAGAAGGGAGATACCTCATGGGGGCCAGAATGATCTGGTTCAGCAGACTGCGATGCAGCCTCTTGGCTACTTTCAGGCCTGTCCACTCCACAGTGACAGATGTGATCAGGCACAGCACGATTCCCAGACTGCACAGAGCTGTGAATACCATGGCATAGACCCTGTGGTCGAAGGAGCAGTCCTGCAATGGTCAAAAACAGAAAAGGTTATTTCAGTCTTCCTGCAAAGGGACCAGCCTATTGTCCTACTCTTTCGTGCCCTCCTTTGCACAACATTTTGGTCACTTTTTTCAAAGAGCGAATTGCTAAATTGTTTTCCAGAGTGTTTGGACCAATCAGAGCATCAGCAGCACTGTGTTAGTGTGCCCAGCATCTTGCAGCCCCACCCACATTTGTTATTTCCATTTTTGCTAGTTTGCTGGCATTCCACACCCCAGAGCCCCCTTGGTCCTTCCTGTTTTCTTGGGTCTTGCTTGCAGTTACCTCACTGAGAGAGCAGTTCCTTGTAGCTGGGCCCAGGGCCAGGGCACTATCTGTCCAGTTGGCCAGGCAGTAGTCTATGGCAACCAGCACGATATGCTTGAGCAACTGGGAGAAGAACAGCAGGGGCAGAAGCAGTACGCCAGCGGTGGACAGGTACTTGGCACAGGCTTGCCATGGTATCTTGGCTCGTTGGCGCAGCAGCGATGACAAGTTGTCTTCTTCTTCACTTTCTGCCATGTCCTCTGTGAGTGGTAGGGATGATCTTACCGTCACGTCACGTTTGGATGGCTCTATACCTCTCAAAGGGTTTTGTATATGTTATCTCATTTGATCCAATCTAATCTTCACAAAACTTCCCTGGGAGGTGGGATGGCCAGGGAGTTTTACCCCTATTTTACAGATGGAGAAAGAAACTGACAGAGTTTTAGTGACTTGCTTAAAGTCACACAGAAAATTGGTGGTGGAGCTGAGTCTGGGATCCAGCTTTCTGATCTCCCCAGTAAATCCCCAGTAAGGGGATTTACCCCTTACTCTTAAGTTTCCAGGAATGCCTCAGCCCATGGACCATACCAGCCACCTCCTCAGGTATTGTAAATGTCCACCAGGCTGAACAAGGAGGTCGTACCTCTCTCTTCTCCTCTACCCTTCCAATTACAGTCACTCCTTTGGGAATGAGAAAATCCCTGAAAATTAAGGGCCACTGAGCCTACTCCTTCACACTTGGTTTAATTTATATGCATAGATTAAGCAAAAGACTCTTAGCATGCAAAGATACTGGGCCCATACCAAATTCCCTCCAAACTGCAAGGATCTGTCTCCCTAGGACTTCAAGACCTCAGGCCTGTTGCCCTTCAGAGTCCCCAAGTCCTAGACCTGAGCCCTTAATGCTATGACTGACCCCCAAAGTGGTCTCAATCCCAGGCCCACCCTACTCCAAGGACATCGGTCCTCAAACCACCCTTCACCAGCAGAGATAAGGGCCTTCACCACATCTCTAGATCAGCCACCTTTTTGAGGCCTGAGACCGGCTCTGAGAGCTGGGAACCAAAGCTACTTCACCTTCCTCCTCTTCCTCATCCAGCAGGAGCCCGTCCCGGGAGGACATGGCCCTGGGCAGACCCTTTGGTACCTCCATGTTCTTTCTCTCAATGACCACAGTCTCCTGAAAGATAGCCAGGGAGACAAAACCACTTACTACCCGCTGCTCTTCCCCAAGCCAGGAAAGTGGGATGGGGAGGCAAGAATAAGACAGATCCATGTTTCTAGGCCACCTCCTCCTTGGAGCCTTCCCTGTTCTCAGCCTTAAGGGATTTCTGAACTTTCCCATGACACTTCAGATATAGCCTTTGTACTTACTGTATTCTAAACTGTTCTGTGGTTATTTGTAAACATGTTGTACCCCCATTCTAGACCCTAAGCTCCATGAGAGTAGGGTCCATATCTTTTTAAAACTTTCTTTCTCTTCATCCTTGAATCTAGTGTTTTGTACATAGTAGGCATGGAATAAATTCTTTGTTGTATTGAAATGAATCAGGATTGAATTGAATTGATGGAATAGGGCCCTGGATTATATGGATCCATTCACATGATCTTAGAAGACATGGGTTTAAATTTTGGCTTTTATATTTACTAGCAGTGTGACCCAGCACCTGCCATTTCTATATGAACCTCAGTTTCCTGATCTGTAAAATGGAGAGCTGGAAGAGACCCTAGAGGATAACATAGGATCATGGATCATTGATCTCAAGCTGGAAGGGACCTTAGTGACCATATAGCCCAACCCTTTCATTTTACAGATGAGGAAACTGAGGCCAGAGAGGTCAGGTGACTTTTCCAAGGTCACACAGGTAATAAATGGCAGAGGGAGAATTTGAATTTGGTCTTATGATGCTAAGTTCAGTACTATTTCTTCTGGGTTAGACGCCCTCCTTCTCTTCTCTGACATTGCTACCATCTTGGTACAGGCTCTTCTTGTCTCACACCTGGACTACTACAATAGCTGGCGGGCATCCCTGCCTTAAGTCTCTTACTACATAGTCCATTCTCCACTTTGATATTAAGTTGATTTTCCTAAAGGGCAGGTCTGAGCATGGTATCCTCTTATTCACTAAACTCCAGTGGTTCCCCATCACCTTCAGGATCAAATATGAAACCCTCTGCCAGGCATTCAACATCATAACCTGTCCCCTCCTACCTCTCCAGTCTTCTCATCCTTTCTCCCCACCATATAATCTATAGACCAGTTACACTAGGCTCCTGGCTACTCCTCATACAAGACACTCTGTCTCCTGACTCTGGTAACTGTCCCCCCTACCTGGAATATCCTTTCTCCTCATATCTGCCTCCTAAATCCCACCTTCTACAAGAAGTCTTTCCTGATCCCCATTAATTCTAGTACCTGTTATCCTGTATATAGATAGTTATCCTGCAAACAGATTGGTTGTACATAGTTATTTGCATATTTTGCCTTTGTTAGACTGTGAGCTCCTTGACAGAGTGGACTGGGTTTTGTTTTTTCTTTTCCCGTAAAGGTGCATCTCTGAGTAAGGTCATTAGGTGAAGTCACTAATCAATCCACTTACACTATAATAATAACAATTATTTCTGGTTACTTAGATCTTTGAGGGGGTGTTGGAGGAGCTGTGGAAAACTGGGCACACTAATGTACTGTTGGTAGAGCTGTGAGTAGGTCCAATCATTCTGAAAAACAATTTGGAATTTTGTTAAAAAAAAAAAGTAATCAAAATATCCTTCGACCTAGAGATCTAGCATAAACTCTGAAGAGGTCAATGATAAAAAAGAAAGGCTTCCTATACACTGAAATAACCATAGCAGGACTTTTTGTGTATGCAAAGAACTGGAAACAAAGCAGATACCCATCAGTTTTGGAATGACTGAATAAATTATCGTACATGAATTAATGGTATATTACTGTGAAAGAAACAATGAAAATGAATTCAGAGAAGCATGAAATATTTCAAAGAACTGATACAAAGTCATGTAAGCAAAACCAGGAAAACAATATACATAACTGCTAAAATGTAAATGGAAAGAATAAAAAACTAAAACTGAATTAAAAACTTAATGCTATGTAGCTATAATGACCAAGAAACTTGACCCCAGAGGAAAGTTGAGAAAATGCATCTCCTTCCCTATATATAGAGGTTGGGTACAATGGGCATGGAATTCTGATTGGTTTTGTTGAATTGCCTTTACCCGCTTCTTTCTTTAAAAATCTTGGTTACCAGAGAAGACTTGCTGGGTGAAGGAGGGGGATGGATATAATTTGAAATGAAGGTGATCTAAAGACAAAAGATACAGGTAAAAGTGAAAAAAGGAGTCAATGGTTATCTAGACAAGGGATATTAGGACCCTAAGGTTATTATTATTTTTTTAGTATTGTCCTTCACTGGGCCAATGATTCAGGCACCTCAAAAATGCCAGATGAACCCACTTTGAGCACACCCAGTCTCATGTTCTGTCTCTGCTGGGGCATTGAGAAGGGAAGTAGCCTCCTTATGGCTTAGAGTTCTTGGGTATTGGCCCACTTTCCAGCGAGCTTACACTCGTTGCTAACCAAGCGAACACTGACTTCATTTTCTGTGGGCCCCCTGGGTCAGAGAGGAAGGGAGCTAGCTCTCATCAAAACAAAGCACACTATGGAATGGTTGAGTATTACTCCCCTTGTTGGGGGACAGAGGGAGCTGAAAACCCCAGATGTCAGAGGTCCCTAGGGCTCCACCTTCTCCAGCTCTTGGCCTTGTCGGTTCATGAGTGTCTTCCACTGCTCAAATAGCTGAGACTCAGACATCTGGATATCCTTGAGTGTCCCTTCCCGCTGGATGGTACCATCTTTCATAGCAATGATCTGGGAAAACAAGCATACGACTTGCCTTTTTGTCATCCTTGGAGAGGAAGAAGAGATACAGGAGGAGGGATGGCTGGTGAAGGGAGAGGGTCCTTCACTAAGAAGCTGTGCACAGAGGTCTCATAGCACAGAGCTGGTCTATGGTAGCTCCCAGGGAGCTGCTTTCTCCCTCCCCCTTTGGATTCTTCCTGTTTATAGTTCATGGAAACTGTATTATAGTCTGATCTCATTAAATAGGGTTCCCCATTCAGAGTTTATAGAAACTCAAGGATCTGCTGTGGACTTGATCCTTGTCTTATCTATGGGGGAAAAAGAACTTATTTAGGAAATGAGTGATTAAAGTCAGAAGAAAGGGAAACATCTGATTTCCTTAAGAAAGTCACTTTTGCTATAAGGGATGCTTCTTGGGGCAGGGGAGGAGAGAAGTATATATTTGGAAATAAAAGTGATATATAAAAAACAAAACTCAATACAATTTTTTAAAAAAGGAAAGCAAGCTTTTTTGTTTTTAAAGAAATTTCAAAAATGTCAGCCCTATTCATTTACATACACTTAACGTACTTTAAAGGATGGACTCACGTCCTCTTGTTATGGGCACTTCCTTTCCTTGCACAGATTTCAGCCTATTCAAATCTCATCTGGTGTGATTCTTGCCATGACTACATCCCATAAATCCTCCAAAGGGCAGATAAGCATTACCCTAGAGACCTTTCTCCAGGTTGTTGAACATCCCATGGGGATAGAAATCAAATGTTGTGTTACCAAGAAGCATGGCCCTTGAGAAGAGCTGAGAAAATGTACCTCCTTCACCTACTTATAGAGGTGTGAAATATTGCATACATTATCAGTCTCAGTTGATACATTAATTGCTTCTGTCAAAGTGCTTTTTTTTTTTTTGGCTAGGCAGTGGGATTAAGTGACTTGCCCAGGGTCACACAGCTAGTGAGTGTTATGTGTCTGAGGCTAGATTTGAACTCAGGACCTCCTGACTCCAGGGTCGGTGCTCTATCCACTGCACCACCTAGCTGTCTCAAAGTGCTTTTTTCTCTTTCAGTTCTTTCTTATGAGGGGTGGTTCAGTGGATAGGGGAGCTAGGACATATATTTGGAAACAAAAATGATGTAAAGACGAATGATAGCAATAAATGGAAAAACCTTTGAGTTCCTTGGGTACCAGCACAGCTTTCAAGCTGCCTATCTATTGTCCCTTAACCATGTTACAGGGCTGGATCACTTCCTTTTCTATTTTAATATTTCCTTAGTAATATGCCTCACACTACTTCTTGCATACAAGAAATCGTTGGTCATATAGTTAGGATAATAATGGATTTCCATATACAATTTTCAAGTTTCTAAAGTGCTTCACACCCATTATTACACTTGCACTCCCCAGCAGCTCTGTGAGGCAGACACTATAGATATTATCTTTATGTAACAAATGGAGAAACTGAGGCTCTGAGAGATAAAATGACTTGCCCGTGGGTCACAAAATTAGTGTCAGAGGCAGAATTAGAACCCAGATTGTCCTGATTCCAGGTCCAGCCTTTAAAATATTCTGGAGCTTAATATGAATGCTTGTTGAGTGACTGATTACAATCAATGCCCCTCACTACTGCTTTTGGGCTACTTGTAATTTTGCTTGTTATGATTAATATGAAGATAATCTTCCCTCATCATTAAACCAGGTCTGGTGGGATCTCTATTGGCACACATTTGTTAGCTTATGTTTTCATCACTGTGTCTGCCTGAAAGCTATAATAAACCCATGTTTCTTTGAAAATAGTCTATAAAATGGAAGGAAGAGAAGTTCGGGAAAGAGAGCTGCATATTGGGAGCTGAGAGACCTGGGCTCTGGAGCTGGTCTTGCCACTCCCTGTGTGACCTTGGGAGAATCACTTAGCCACTCTAGGCTTTGGATTTCCCATCTGGTAAAGGAACAGGTCAGACTAGATGTCCTCTCAAGCCCCTTCCAGCTCTAGAGGTTGTGTGCGCCTAAGAATTCATTTATTCAGACTTCCGATTCACTGAACTGAGTGAGGGCTAACCATGACTGCCCTCTCTAAAGAGGTCATAGGAGGGTTGGCAGCTCTGCTTGGGCTTCGGATGGCTCTGAGCTCCCTCCTGCTGTGAGTTCTAGACAGTTAGAGGGCTGATGTGAGAAAGTGTCAGGTTTTTGATATGGCTTGCAACTTTGGTCTCATCTGCACCATTCTTGGCGATTTTCTTGGAGTTTGGCCAGTCTTTTTTGTATATATCCTACTGGAAAAGGGTTGGACACAGAGCCAGGAGTGATCTGGCTTCTAATCCCAGTTCTGACTTGCTAGCTGTATGACCTTAGGCAGATCACTTCACTTTCTGTACCTCAGTTTATTCCATTTCTAAGACGGGGATAACAATATGGGAAACTTTGTGAACCTTAAAGTGTTATTGAAACGTTAAGTGAGTGTTATTACTGTTGTATCTTCCATTAGAAGGAGTGATCCTTCATGGGAAGTTGCCTCAGGACAGGGTCTGTGTCTATCCCCCTCCCAAATTGGACATTCTCTGATGAAAGGAGCTTTGGGTTACCAATTAGGCTGGGGGTTCCCTGAGGAGGGTAGAGAGTATATGTCTCCTTTGTTGGACTAAGGCATCTCCAAGGCTGGGACTATGTGCCTTCTTCTGAATCTTCTCCAGGTCCCAGAACACAGTGGACTTCAGGCCAGGACTGGGGAAATGTCAGACTTCTAGAGAATGGTAGTTTGTGCCCAGCACCAAATCCCTTCTGGAGCCTGGTAGCAAGCACCCAGTTAGGTAGCCTGTGTTGGGCCAGACCGATTCCAGCCTGGGGAAATTCCTGGACAAGCTGTGTTTGGCTGCAAGAATGGCCCAAATCTAGACATGAGAACGAATCTTAGTTGTTATTGATTCCCTCCTTCCCTCTCTTTCCCCTTCTTCTTTTCCCTAACCCTGTAAACCGATCATCCTTGGTGCCCATCAGCCAGGCTCTCACCCAGTCTGCATGGGGCAGGTACTGCAGCTTGTGGGTTACTAGGACCACAGTCCTCTTGTCCTCCCGGAGCAACTCAAGAATTCCAGCCTGCATTAAGTGGTCACTCAGGTGGATGTCCAGGGCTGAGAACGGATCGTCCTGAGCAGAGGAAGGAGAGATTAGAGACAGGAACTTATAAAGTGGGTATGTAATGTTAATAATAAAATTAATTGGAATAACACCAGTTCTAGGCCTTGCTACTTAGCTATCTGACCTTGGAAAAGTTGCTTCCTACTAAGGGTTTCAGCGTGAGACACTACCTGTCTCACAAAGCTGCTATGAAAACCAAACAAGATATCTGTGAAAGGACTTTATAAGCTGCTAATCATCAGAGAAATGCAGGGTGATAGGATAATTAGCATCTTTCTCATTTTTAAGTGCCATTGTGGTATAACCACCTTTTCTTCTCCCAGCATGTCTCTGAGGTGGCATTCAGAGTGGGAAAGGCAGGGTACAGTTGCTTCCTAGGACTTGTTTCACCTGCCTCTACTCTCTCTCCCTCCCCCAGTCTAAATCTTAGACTTAGGAGTCAAAAGACCCAACTTAGAATTGGGGCTTTTTGATGTATTAGTTGCATCACCACATCCTAGTCACCACCTCTCTGAGCCTCATCTGTAAAATGGAGCTATAATAACATTCCCACCACCTACCTATGCCAGAAAAATATATAGTCATGCAGGGTGGGAGCTGAGCGTGTACAATGTAGTGGGATGAGGTAGGGGTGGAGGAGGGGGCGATGTGGAAGACGGCGAGGCAAACTCACCAAGAACACAACATTGGTGTGCTGGTACAGTGCCCGGGCCACACTGATACGTTGACGCTGACCTCCCGACAGGTTAATGCCCTGGTATCAACGGAGAGCAACTGGTCATTGTCATTGCCCTCTCCCTAAGCTACGTCAGAGAGATTGAGGTCTGAGTGTGGAAGGAGCTGCCTATGCCCAAGGCAGGAGAAGTTTGAAGTTATTATTATTATTATTATCTATTTTTTTCTTGTCTAACTTCATTCCTGCTCTTCTTATCTAAATATTGCCAGCCCTAACGCCTCAGATGGATTTTGAAGCAGGCACACCTTACTCTGTCTACACTCATTGTCTACACTTCCCTAACTCACTTCTAAACCCTTTGCGGTCTGAGGAAGCTTTAAGTTATATGGAGTCAGTCAGAATAAAGGAACTGGGATTGTTTTCTTTGAGAAGGAAGGGTTAGAGGCAGGGCTGGTGTGGCCTTTGAGTCTGCACAGCAAATGGGGACAATCCCATATCTATTTTCCACATGAAAGGCAGCGTACGGTGGGAAGAGGCCACTGGATCTGGGGTTAGGATACCTGGGTTCCAGTCTTGGCTCCTGTACTTCTACAAGATCCAGAGCAAGTCATTTAACCTCTTTTGTACCTCAGTTTTCTCATCTCTAAAGTGGGTTTGATAATACTTTCACTATCTACCTCACAAAGGTGAGGAAAGTGCTTTTGATGGTTGTTGCCAATACTACTATAATAATCAGGATCATGGGAGAAACAGACTTGGGCTTCAGCTACAGAGATTTAGGTTAGATTAAAGGAAGAATTTTCAGATAATAAGGTTGGTCAAAGGAAATTGTTGTATCTAAGATGGATAAGATGACCCCTTCTCTTGTTATTCTCCGAGCCAGCTGCCTCCTGACAAATCCACTCTAAAAATTCTCTTCATAGGGACTCCTGGCTATGGTTTTTGACCCTGAGGCAGATGGCTCTTTAGCACCTAGTAACTGGACCTCTGAAAATGAGTTGGTGCAGGGCAGGGGTGGGGCAAGTCAGAGTTATGGGAAGGACCGTTTTGAGAGTGAGCTTTGAGAACCCCACTACCCTAGAAGACAGCTACTAACCCGTTCCCCAATCTGGGTCTGGTCTCCATGGGGCAGGATATCGATGTCAGGCTGGAGAGAACAGGCATCAATGACAGCTTTATACCTGTCGGGGGGACAGAGATGGACATAGCATGGCTTGGCCCAAGAATCTCTGCTGTGTTTTATAGAGGGCCATTATCTAGAAGAGGGATTTGGTGTTGGAGAGACTGTCGTGGACACAGATGGCTTAACGAGCCTTCCCAGCTTGGGAGAGCAAACACCATCTGATTCAGGAAAGTGCCCAGGCTTAGCACCTTATTCAGGCTTGCAACTGGGCTAGTTAAATATTTAAGGAGTTAAATTGGGTGGGAATATATACGGTGACTCAGCAACAACGGTCCTGTGATCTTTATGTGTCGGAGAGGGCGTGATGACTGACCATGCTGACTGTTAAATATTTACTTGGCTCCCTCACCCCAGCAGTGTCTTCTACACCGAGCTGGGGGAGCTGCACAGACAGAGCAGGAAGCAAGAGCCCAGACCTCCTTCCTACCTTGTTCTAGACCCAGCATCACATTGAACAGCTCTCCACTCGTCCTGTCCCCTCCCTCCTCCTCCTCCCATCTCTAAACAGAAGGCTCTGGGTGAAGTGGATCTAGATATCCAAAGTGAGTTTGCATTTGAAGCCACTTCCAAGTAGATCATCCAGAAAATTCTGAAATCTCTACCCAGATCTAGAGTTAAAGAGTTAAACTGGATGGGAACATACACAGTGCATTCTCCGAACACATGGACCATTGTCAGAGGATGCAATTAAAAGCAGCCAGGATGGGAGGGTATTGGGGCTAGGCTCTCGAGTAGTTCTGGGGAATGGAGATGATGGTACCGTAGGAGCAGGGAGTAAGAGGGGAGAGGCCTGGCTGCTGACCCATCTGGGAATGATTCCACCAGCCCCTTACCTCCCACCATGAGAGAGAAGGTTTTACCGTTGTTTGTTGAAGGGGCTTTCAAATGTAATGTTCTCCTCCACTGTGGCATTAAGCAACCATGGCTTCTGGGAGGCATAGGCCACTGGACCCCTCTTTCTGAAAAAGAAGGCCAAGGAGGGGCTTCAGTGAGTGCCAGTGAGTTCTGTAATGTGACTACCCTAGACCAGCCTTACAGAGGGCCCCCAAGTATCATCTCCAGCAACTTAATAAAACCCAAGAAAATCTACTCTTAGGGGGTCATTCTTTCATGTTTTCCAAAATTTCCTTCCTTCCTTTTCCTTACTTCCTTACTTCCTTCCCCTCCCTCTCTTTCTTTCTTCTTTCCCTTTTCTTCCTCCCTTCTTCCCTCCCTTCCTTCCTTCCTCTCTCCCTCCCCTTTCTCTTTCTTTCCTTCCTTCTTTCTCTTACTTTCTTCCTTCTTTCCTCCCTCTCTTCCTCTCTCTTTCTCTCTCCCTTTTCCTTCCTTCCTTCCTTCCTTCTTCCTTCCTTCCTTCCTTCCTTCCTTCCTTCCTTCCTTCCTTTCCTTCCTTCCTTTCTTTCTTTCTTTTTCTTTCTTTCTTTCTTTCTTTCTTTCTTTCTTTCTTTCTTTCTTTCTTTCTTTCTTTCTTTCTTTCTTTCTTTCTTTCTTTCTTTCTATGGCCTAGCAAAGTTCCTGGCCCATAGTAAGTGCTTGAAAAACACTTGCTTGATTCATTGAAGTACCACTGAGAGGCTAACACATACTTTCAACTTTTGTTAGTCTGTCTCTACATTATTAAGAGCAGTTGAAAAATCAGCTGGGAATAAGATGCCCATTTCCTGGGCCATGGACTAGGTTGATGAGGAGAAGGGAGGGGGAGCCCTAAAAGTGAAGAACAGAAATATCCTCACCTACTTCAAAGTCGTGCTGAGGGGAGCCCTGCTGTAGCCTGGCCCCTACTTCTTCTAGCCCAGGGGCATGGGGGTGGGGGCAGGAGAAGGAGGAAGGGTTTTGGCCAGTGGTCATGGGCTGGATTTTAGATCTCTGATCACTTTACAGATAGGGCCATGAGGAACCCTAATGCTGCACAATTCATACTAGCTCAAGGATGACAGCATAGCGGTCCTTTCAGATAGCTCCTACCTGCATGGGAACAGACCACTGAGGATAGATTGTTTGCAAGTCCTCCTCCCCATAATGTGATTGAGGCCCCTTCTTTGGGTCTCTCTCTTGAGTGGGATCGCAAACTTCTTAAATACAAGGCTAAGTCCCAGATGACTCCAGGGAACATTTGTTTTCAATCAAAGCTCTTTAGAGCGCTGAGAAGGATGAGACACTCGGGAGCACCCACTAACTACCTCCAGAACCCCAACTTGAACCAAGCACTAAATCTCCTCTCCCTGCCTCGGCTCTCAGAAACTGTAAGTCGATGTCAAGGATGTTTGCGTCACAGAGCTCCATGAGGTTACCCCTGGGACCACATGGGAAGGAGGGGAGGAGGATTCCAAGAGGAAGAGCTTGTTCCCATGAGATGGGAGAACTCAGTACCTGATATCCGGGCCAGTATTTGTTTCCCTCTCTGGGCTGTGGCAAAAGGAAAGAGACATCATTTAGTGTGTAGAAAAGTGGTCATGCTCACTCCAGCTGAAAAGAGCCCAGTCTTGAAGCCTGCACACAGGTCTCAACCACCCTCATGGGAAAACCCACTCACATACTTAGGGTCATATTTTCATCCTGCTCCCTTGTGCCCCCCGGGGTTCACTGACTTAGGGAAAGGGGAAAAACACCCAGCTGGTTTGGGGAAATATGTGAGGAAAAGTGCTAGCAGGTTACAGATGTATGTATGTATGTATGTATGTATGTAGGTATGTATGTATGTGTGTGTGTGTGCGTGTGTGTGAGAGACAGACAGACAGAGACAGACAGAGAGAGACAGAGGCAGAGACAGAGACACAGAAAGACACACTAAGAGAGAGACAGAGACAAAGAGAAACAGAGACAGACTGTGTGTGTGAGAGACAGACAGAGAGAGAAGAGATCCAGAGACAGAGACACAGAGAGAGACAGAAAAAGACAGAGACAGAGAGAGAAAATGGAAAGTGTCCAAAATCGCACATGGCTTATCTAGCTCTGTAACCAGAATGCTTTCTGGGTTCCTCACTATGACATGCATTCTCCATACCTGGAGTCCTCGCCGGTCTCACTGTCTGGGAGGCTACAGTGCCGCAAATAGAAAGAAGAGAGACATTGGTTACTTGCCATGTGCCAGAACTCAGTTCCTAGGATGAGCAATCTTTTACTGACTCTTCCCAGTCTCTGGTTTCTCCCTTCCAAAGGCTCTGAAAAGAGAGAGAGGGGAGACAGGTACCTGCAGTGGCCAGAATTTGCTGTGGAAGACTGAGGTTGTTAAAGGGCTCTCTGAAAACCACTGTCAGCAGGAGGACTTGATTTGGGGCTATGATTGGCACAGGAAGCAATATGCTTTTGTGTGTGTGTTATCCAGCACAGCAGCAGATATACAAGGTGTCCCAAAAGTCTTAGTGCAGCTGTAAGCCATAAGGGACCAAGTCCAACCATTACTATAAATGAGAAAACTGAGAGGAGAGAATTTGCCCAAGGTCATATAGCAAGTCATTGGCCAAGAAGGAATAGAAGCCAGATCTTCTCTCTCTCTCTCTCTCTCTCTCTCTCTCTCTCTCTCTCTCTCTCTCTCTCTCTCTCTCTCTCTCTCTCTCTCTCTCTTTTGAGACTTGGTCTCCCAATGTCACCTAGGCTGGAAGTTCAGCATCCACTCAAGGGCACAGTCCCATTAATTGACTGGCTTGGAAGCCTTAGTTTATTCCAATTTTCCAACCTGGGAGGGTTCGGCCCCCCTCAGGCAGCCTGGTGGCCCTCTGCTCCTGGGGACTCACCAATTTAAGCACCAGACGGAGCAGGGACACTGGATCAGAACACCCAAACTAAAGAGCGCTTGGCCCGGCCTCCCTCACTAGTAAGGATTACAGGAGTGGACAACCACACCCGGCTTCTCTTTCAGTCCAAGGCTCTTGACCACCGGTGCCAGCCAGCAAGGGACTGCATTTGCAGTTCCCCTGGTCTCCTCCAACCCCAAACTTGTCCTGCCCCTGTATGCTGCATGTCTGAAGTGGTGAGGAAGGGGCCAGGATGAGACATTGCCAAACAGCCCTGTCTCATGAAGATAAAATGCCTTTAGCAGAGCTGTAGCTAACAATTCTGGTGAACAGGGCAAGACTGTGGTTTTGGGGGGGGTTTTGGAAGGGGAGGGACCTTGGAAATGCAACTCAGACCTTCAGTACAAGGTTCCTGGGGAGACAAACTTCAGAGTATGACCCCAAGGAGATAGAGATCTTAGGACACTAGTCCTTGTGGGTAGTGACTGTGGGACACCTCAAGGACCCCTTTGAGTAGAGGGAAAAGGTTTAAAGCCAAATCAGAGAGGAGCTCTGCAGCGGAAGAAAACAGTCATCATCTGGTCGCTTCTGAGTTTAATTTATTAGTCTTACTAACTAGTTCTAAGCTCAATTTCTGCCTATAGAAGGACTAAGACTTTCAGTGTGCTGGGGCAAAGGCCTTGTTATGGCTCTGGCTTTTGTCACATTTTCATCCATAGTGCACACATTCTTTGGTTAGGAAAACTGAATAGAAACATGTGTCAAGTGGACATAGGAAAAATGAAGAATTTCCATTTTGCAATGGTGCCAATGCTTAAGAAGGGAAGAAAGAGAAAAGATATTAAGGGCTTCAGTCACTGCCAGTCTCCTTGGAGAGCCATTCTCTGCCCCTTATACTCAGGTCTTCCTTCATTCCAACCTAACCCAAACTTCCCTGTCTCTGACCCTGTTTGACATAAACTTCAGAAATGAGAGGTTAGAAATTTCAGTTCTGTAGCAAGAATAGAGATAGCTCTATCCCAGAAGCCCTGTTGTTTTGACCATGTGCAGATAACTGCTCCCATTTACAGAGTTTAAAATGCTTTCCTTGCAACAGTCCTGTGAGGTTAGTCTCATCGGTATTATCATCCCCATTTTACAGAGGAGGAAACTAAGGTTTGGACAACGGTTGCTGACCCCACATCTAGGTCTCTTTCCTTTAGACCAAGGTGTAAGTGGGGCTTCCTTCCTTCCTTCTTTCTTTCTTTCTTTCTTTCTTTCTTTCTTTCTTTCTTTCTTTCTTTCTTTTTCTTTCTTTCTTTCTTTCTTTCTTTCTCTCTTTCTTTCTTTCTTTCTTTCTTCCTCTCTCTCTCTCTCTCTCTCTCTCTCTCTCTCTCTCTCTCTCTCTCTCTCTCTCTTTCTTTCTTATCAGGGTTAAATGACTTGCCCAGGGTCACACACTTAGTAAGTGTTTCAGCCCAAATTTGAACTCAGGTCCTCCTGACTCCAGACCTGATGCTCTATCCATTGGGCCACCTACCTGCCCCACCCCCCTTACTTTTTAAAATGAAAATAGGTGTTCACCATATCTGGAGGCTCCAGCTCACACTGATCTCCCCAGTTCCTAACTCCTGCTTGGAGTTCACCAGCTGTGAGTTTATTATCTGGACTGAGTAGTTAGCATTCCCTAATTGCATTAAAGCTGCTGGACCCCAGAGGCAATAGAGAGCTGTGATAATATTTCAGCTGCAACCCTTAGGAGCTATTTGACCTTTGAGCTCTCTTAGCCTCAGTTTTCTTATCTGTAAAGTGGAGATTCAATTTGACTTGGGTGCTAGGGATAGGAAGATCAAAACAAAAGAAGCCCTGCCCTCAGGGGGCTTCCTTTCGGTTTTTGTTGTTTATCATTCCTCCTTCACTTTTGAAGGGGACCAGCGATGTTATGGATGATGAGTTGGATTTAAGTGAGGCAGAGTTGCTCAAAGTCTTCAGTCTCACCTTCTATTAGGAAGAGAATATACAGAAGTAAGGAAATGCCAAATGACGTCCAGGGGAGAGCGACCAGGGCTGTGGGCTGGCTCAGGGATGGGTTTGTATAGGAAGCAGCCCCTCAGCTGGGATTCTATAAGTTTTAGGTGGGTACAAAGTCCATTCCAGCAGGTCCATTTGACAGGAATAGAAAGCATGGGGAGGGGGATAACAGGAAACAGATTGTAAAGGTAGGTAAGAATCCGATTCTGGAGGGTTCAAAGATCAGGCTGAGGAATTTATATTTATATTAGTGACATTAGGATAATTATATTTGTATCTACTACTTCAGAAGGGTGTTGTGGGGAAAAAACTCCGTAACTCTTAAAGTGTTATATAAATAGGAATTATTATTATTACTATTATTTCTCTAGAGTGGGATATGATGTCTTATAGCATTTGGAGGGGAAAAGGGACTTTAGGGTCCATCCCATTCATTTTATAAAGGAAAAAACTGAGACCTGAAGAGGGGAGGTGACTTGCCCAAAGCACAGAGGTAGCATTGGACAGGATCTGGATTCGAATTCAGACCTTCCTTGGTGAATGTGGACTAATATTCTTCCCTCTTCAGCTCAGTATGATCAATGTCCATCATTCACTCATGCTTAACACCTGCTCTGTGTCCATCCCTGAGCTTACCTGTAAGAGGTGTTAAGCATGAGTGGATGATGGACATTGATCATACTGAGCTGAAGAGGCGAGAAGATCAGTTCACTTTCACCAAGGAAGGCCCCATGGGTTTTTGATCTGAAAAGAGAAAGAATCAAACTTTCCATTGATGGCTGGGATTTAAAAATGAGTGTTAGGGATATTAGCTTGTCCCCTCACCGTTCTTTGGGGACCAGCGAATACAGTCAAAAAGCTCAGCTGGACAGAGGATTTTGGGGTTCCCCTTTCTTAGAACAGAGTCCAGAGAGGAGGGGACCCCAAAGCCCTTCCAATACTGACAACTCTTTCTAGCAGGCCAGATAGAGCTCCATAGAGTCCCCTTATAGCCACTGACCTATCCCTCTGCCTCAGAAGCCAGCAAGCTGGGTATGTCCTTGACAACTGCTTCAGAGCAGAGGGTTTTGGTTTCTTGCATAATTTTTTCTGTGTGATAATAATAATAATGATAAATAGAATTTATGTAATGATGTATAGTTTGTTAGTTGCTTATTTGTGTTATCTTATTTGATTCTCACAACAAACCTGTGATGTAGGTGCCCTTATTGTCCCCATTTTACAGATGAGGAAACTGGGGTTCAGAGAGGTTAAGTGACTGTCACAGAGTTACCAAGCTACTAAGTGTCTGGGGCAGCATTCTAACTCAGGTCATCCTGATTCTGAGACCATCTTCCTATTCATTCACCTAGCTGCCATACCAGGTCTGCCAATTGCCCTTGTAAGTACCCATATTCATTGGAAATCTGGAAATCTATACTGATTTCTGGGTCCCATGGGGTCTTCCTTCCCCAGTCCCAAGAAGAAGCACTGAGTCTGCTCAGTGGATGGTCCTGGGAAAAGTTTCTAATTTTATGAATACTAGAGGACTGGCTCTTCCTCAGATGGCAACGGCTGTTTCCAGACACTCATCATTAAAGGCTTACCAAACATTATCCCATAAATATCCTCAACAGGCTAGAGTGATGAAATTAAGCAGATAAAGACATAAAAGTCCTGTGCTCTGCCAACAGCAAAAAACCCCCAACTAACCCTAGTTACATAAGGCTAGGATAGGAGGGGCATGGCTAGGCAACAGTTTCTATGAGAAAGACCTGGATAGAGGTAGTGGGGGTCTTCCTAGATTGAAGCTGTTATAGGGTGACATAATAGGAGAAACACCCTCAACACACCAAGAAACTAAGGCAATCTTAACCAGCATTAATGACCCTCATGTTCCGGATGTGGGAGGCAATAGCACTACTGCCTTCTGCTCTGGACAGACGACATCTAGAATACCATGTTCAGTTTCTGGGGGTCAGTTTTTTTTTAAGGCAATTGGGGTCAAGTGACTTGCCCAGGGTCACACAGCTAGTAAATGTCAAGTGTTTGGTCTGAGGCCGGATTTGAATTCAGGTCTTCCCAACTTCAGGGCCGGTGCTCTATCCACTGCACCATCTAGCTGCCCCTGGGGATCAGTTTTTGGAAGGACACTGAATGCTTCCAGAGAAGGGTCCAGGAGAGTGAGAGGGCTGGAGAACATGCTGTCTGAGGAGCAGTTAAAGTAAATGGGAATGTTTAGCCTGGCGATGACTCAGGAAGGACAGAGTAGAAGAAAAGAAAGAAATATTTATTCTTTTTTTTTTTGGGGGGGGAAGGAAATATTTGTTAAGCACATGCTATGTGCCAGAGGATTGTGCCAAGTGCTTTGCTAATATTCTCATTTGATTCTCACAATAACCCTGGAGGGTAGGTGCCATTGTTATCCTTACTTTACAGCTGAGAAGGGTGAGGTACTCAGACTTCAGTGACTTGCTCAGGGTCACATAGCAAGTAGCTGCGGCTGGATTTGAAATGAGATCTTCCTGACTCCAGGTCCATCGATCTGTCCACTGCACCACCTAGCTGTATCTAGGCTTTGAAAGACTGCCAGGTGGGAGTGGGAGAGAGATTGGACTTTTTCTGCTTGGTTCCAGAGGGCAGACCTTGGAGCAATGGGTCAGTGCTGCATCGAGGCAGATTGCAGCGGGCATGAAACAACTTCCTAAGGATGAATTGTCCCATTTTAAAACATTTCACAAGGCAGTGAGCTCCTCATCACTAGAGGTATTCAAGGGGAGACTGGAAGACTACATATGGAAGAGATTCCGGTATTCAGGTATGGATTGCTCTCCTAACTCAGATTCTATGTTTCTCATCGCAGACGTTTGCAGAGATGAGGGACGACTATTAAACAAGTTGCTGGTTTGCTTTTGAAATACAGAGCTGGGCTGCTGACTCAGCCTGCGTAGTGTTTCTGAGCAGAAGCTTGGGTGGCATTTTGTGGCTCTCACTCAGGAGGCACTTCTCACATCGCGGGGCAGTGCAGTCTTGTCTTCCTACCACCCCCAGACTGTAAACTCCCTGAGGAGTATCCTTGGGTTATTGTTTACAGGGCTCAGCTCTGCCAGGATTGGAGTGCTTCTTCCTAAACCTGTTTTTCTTTCTCCTCCCCCAGGCATTCTTAAACGCCTTGTTGCTTTGCTCCACTGCATTCTCCTCCATGGTTTCTAGGCTGCTGCTGGTTGATGACAGATGTAATTTTGACATCATGGCATGGTAAGGCACTTGACTTGGAATCAGAAAGATCTGGGTTCAAATCTTGCTTCAAACACTAGCTGTGTGACCTTAGGTAAGACACTCAACCTTTCTGTGCCTCAGTTTCCTCATCTATAAAATAAGGGGATTGGACTCAATGGCATCTAACATTCCTTCTAGCTCTAAATTTGTAATCCATGAATCTGCTCTGGATAGGAATTCAGATGGCACTCACTTGCCTTCCTTGTATGAAAGCTTGGGACACAATCAGAGAAGGTAAAAGAAGGAAGGAAGGAAGAGAACAATCATTTATTACCATCAGAAATTGTGTTAAAAGCTTTGCAAATATCTTATTTGACCCTCACAATGAGCCTCTGTAGTTGGCGCTACTCTCATTACTATTTTACAGTTAAGGAAAATGAGACAGACAGAGGTTAAGTGACTTGTCCAGGGTCACAAAACTAGTAAATGTCTGAGGCTGGATTTGATTTAGTTCTTCCTAACTATAAGTCCAGCATTCTATCCACTGCACCATCTAGCTGCCTCTAAAATGAATGGCTGAGAAAAAACAGGTTTTCTTCTTGGCCTCCTTCTCTATTTGTTCACCCTTGTGAAGCTTCAGGAAGGAGTCTGAGAACTAGCGCTCCTGTGAATGGGAATACTGGGGGTAGATCATTATACTCATGGAGCTTACTAGGTCATCATCAGTTGAGATCTGGAGCTAGGATTAGGGGCATATCTCCCTTGAGGCCACATGGGCATGGTGGTAAATATCAGTAGTCCTAGGCACTCAGGCTGATGCTGGCTGATCTCTTGAGCTTCAGAGTTCTGAGCTGCAGATGTCTCTACAGATTGGGTGTTTGCACTACATAGGGTGGCACTCTAGTGAGCCCCTGGGCCCAGGGCTCCAGCCAGATTGCCTAAGGAGGGACCAAACCAGCTGAGGTTGGAAACCAAGCAGGTCACATCCTGGTACTAATGAGGAGTAGGATTGGCCAGTGAGTAGCCCCTGCATTTCCAGCCTGAGTGAGATGGGGAGAACCAGTCTTAACAAATAAAATTAAAGGCATGTAGAGCTGGAGGGAATCTGAGAAGTCCCAGAGTCCAATCGCCTTCATTTTTAAAATGAGCAAACTGAAGACCCAAGAAGTTAAGTGACTTGCCCCAGGCCACACAGGTCATAAGATGCAGAGAGCAGGCCCCTTATTATGCCCTTGGCTGGAGAGGCAAAGAGGAAGCCGCTTTAAGAGATGCAGCTGGAACAAGACTAAGTGAATTGGCAAGTTCAGGAACCAGGGAAACTGCTACGTGAGCAGCACATTAGTTCTCTTGACTTCCGAGGCCTGGCCATCTGTTAACCTGATGCACCATGCTCGGCCATGCTCTGGGGAGAAATGAAAAGCCTTCTTTCATTAGAGTCAGGAAAAGAAAATCAGTCTCTCTATGATGTGAAACAATGGTAAATATCACCCTTGGCACCAAGAACATCAGGAAAAGTTGCTGACTTTGTGATGGGGTCTGGGCTTGCAAAGGCAGTGGCACTGGCCCTGCAGTTGTCACCCGGGAACTGGGTTCAAATCCCCCCTCTTCAGTTCCTTCTTTGTGATCTCAGACAATTCACTTTCTTTCTCTGGGTCTCAAGTTTTCTCATCTGCAAAATGAGGGGTTTGAACAACATAGCCTATGATCTAGGCAGCCAGGGAGTGAAGTGGATAGAAAGATAGACCTGAAGTCAGGTAGATCTTAGTTCAAATCTGGCCTCCTACGCTTTCTAGCTGTTAGACTCTGAGAAAATTACTCAACTTCTGTCTGCCTCAGTCTACTCATCTATAAAGCGGGGATAATAACAGCACCTACCTGCCAGAGTGATTGTGAAGATCAAACGAGATAATATTTGTAAAACATTTTAACAGTGTTTGGCTCATAGTAGGTGCTTTCCAAATGCTTATTTCTTTCCTTCCTAATTCCTTTTTCTTTCTTTCTTCCTCCCTCCCTTCTTTCCTCCCTCCCTTTCTTCCTTCTTTCCTCCCTCCCTTCCTTCCATCCTTCCTTCTTTCCTCCCTCCCTCCCTTCCTTCTTCCCTTTCTTTCTTCCTTCCTTCCCACTTAAAGCTAACCCCAATTATGTTGGAATATGTATGGCAGTTTTCTTTGAGAAGTTGGTGTGCATTATCTAAAAGAATGCAATAAAAGTGTTAACCCTTTGTGAGAGAAGCAGTAGGAAGTTAGGAAGACCTGGGTTAAAGCCTCCCTTTTGTTACATACTGCCTGCATGACCCTGGGAAGGTCACAACTTCTGAGTGCCCCAGACAACTTTCTAAAACTCTCAGGTATCGATGGGTTGTTGATCTGCACTGGGAGAGGGAATGCCCTCACTGGGAGCTATCTACACAAATAAAATCACAGGCCTGAGACAAAATCTTTTGTGAACTCTAGTGGTGACTCATGTATCAGGTTGAATTATTCTGTTTCCTAATTGATGGGAGATGCTTTAATAGATGTGAATTCTCTTTATCTCCTCCACTCTCTTGGAGGAGGAAGGGGAGGTCCCTGATTATCCAATGATCATGGAGGTCTGTGGGTGAGAGGTTTCTTGGTTGATTCAGTGAATCTGGCATTGTAGAAGGGATGAATGAGTTTTGGGCAGAGCACCCTTGAGATGGGCAAATCCCAAAGACATTTGAGAGGGACCAGACATTGATACTGGTTACAAGATAATGAGTTTTTTGGTTCCAGCAACTCATGAAATCCATCTACAAAGGCATGAGAAGGGCTGGACTGTGCACTGATGGGATGAAATCAGGGATCCTTTAAAGCATTAAAAAAGAGGAAAAATCAATTATCTTCTTAAGAGTTGAGACACAGTGTGGAGTAGTGGCTTAGAGTACTAGAAGATCTGAATTCAAATTCCACCTCAAATATTTACTAATTGTGTAATTCTGGACAAATAACCTCTCTGTGCAACAGTTTCCCCATCTGTAAAATGAGGTTGGACTCCATGGCCTCTGAGGCCCCTTCTGGCTCTAGCCCCATAATTCTATCAGAGTTCAAGTCAGAGAAAGTCATCCAAGAAATTACCCACCTAGCATAGTTTAGCCAAAACAAAAAGGTACAAGCTCTACTGGCCCTTGTTATCTCCACCCCGAATTGTCACAGAGAATCAGAAGAGAGGGGCAGCTAGGTGGCGCAGTGAATAGAAGTCAGGAGGACCTGAGTTCAAATCTGCCTCAGACCAAACACTTGACACTTACTAGCTGTGTGACCCTGGGCAAGTCACTTAACCCCAACTGCCTAAAAAAAAAAGAGAGAGAGAGAGAGAATCAGAAGAGAGCTTGATTCCCAGGATGGGGCAAGGAAAGAAAATGAGACCTTGTAGGAGTAGGTGCCTCAGACTCTGAAAGGCTGCCCTGGTTGCCCTCCAGGATTTTCACTCTCCTCGTGTACCTCAATTTTGTATTGTGCAGGCTCAATAAAGATTTTCTGAACTTTAAGGATACTGAGAAGTGAGGGAGAGGGCAAGGAAGAGAAACCAGGACAACAAGTCCATGCCAAATAGGGTCCTGAGGGAGAGTGGTTGAAGGATGTTTAGTCTGCAGAAGAAAACTTAGGAGTGAAGTGACAGCCACCTTTAAAGTCACTGAAGGGCTTTCCCAGTGGAGGAGGGAGGAGATTTAGAGGCAACATGAGGTAGTGGGGAGAGTGTTGGGTTTGGAGGAAGGAAGACGGAGGTTAAGAAGACTTTGGTTCCACTTAGAAACATATTAGCTGTATGACTGGGTAAATTACTTATTTTATCTGAGCCTCAGTTTCCTCATCTGTAAAATGGGAGTTATGCTCCCAGAAGTACCTATCATGGTTGTTGTGAGGAATAAATGAGACGGCACATATAAAGTTCTTCATTGACCTAAAGCTTAGAAACATGACATTTGTTGTCATTATCATTAGCTGAGAAGGAGTGTCCCAAAGTGGATGAAGAACTGGTCTCAGAATCAGAAAGACCTGGGTTCAGGTTCTGATCCTGATGCATATAACTGGTTCTTTAATGCTGGGTAAGTCACTTGACCTTTCATTGCCCCCAGGCAACTCTCAGAGACTCTAAAGTTGTAGAGTAGGTGTTACTCTGTATTGGTGAAGGGAGTTTCCTTACTGGGAGCTCCCTATAGTGATGACATTCCAGGTCTGCTTTAAAAAAAAAAAGCCAGTCAATTATGATTTCACTGTGATGATCAGCATGTAAAGGGCTTTGTAACTGCAGAGTGCTGCGTAGATTTCAGCTATAATTATTATCATGATGATAACAGAAGATGGATCATGATGCTAAACACAGAGGACAACCTTCCTGGCTTTTGGCTGCATCAGGAAGCATCTTTGCTTCTCAGATATAGTATCTGCCTTGAAAGGGAAGAATAAATTTCTGTAAAAACAAGGGGAAAAGACCCAAAGGGGATCTATAAGGAAAGACTGTGTTTTGCAAATTTTGGGTCAACTCGTGTGATAGGCTGAACTCTTCTGATTTGGAGGCGATGGGATCAATGTGTGTACTTTTTTTTCTTTTTGGCTTTCCCTTGGTGGGAGGAAAGGGAAGTTTAGACTGCCAGTGATGAGAAGATAATGAAATAGAGGATATTACAAATAGTCTCCTTGGAATAAAAGGAAAACATATTGTCTTCCTTTACTGTCAATAAAACAACAAAAAATAGCTCTTTTTTTTTTTAAAGAGAAGATAGGGAGATGGGAGAAACATTTCAAAGTTTGCCCAAATAAGAGGCTTTATACCTAACTGGCTGAGAACAGACCAAAATTATAGTTCAGGCAAGCAAGTTGGATCCAAAATCCCCGAGTGGGTCAACCCCAAATTATGAGATCTCGATTTAAAAGATAGCACCAGGAGCCCAGAATGAGCTGAGGCTCCCTATGGAAATTAGGTACCACAACATGGGGATTCCCTTGTTATTTTTTAAGCTGTGCTGGGGCGGAAGAGGAGGAATGAAGAAGGCATGAAATCAGTGCTTGGGGCAACGATAACAGTACAGTGAAAAGCCTAACTAGTCAAATCTTTTGCTTCTTTCTTCCAAGAAGGTTAATTTTTGGTCTAGAGAAGATGGAACAGAATGGTTCCCAGGGACTTGACACTGAAACATCGGGGCCCCTAGGATCTCCTCGCCTTTGAGTCCCAGTCTCACTGAAGCCTAAACTCTTCCTCATGACTTTCAAGGGATCTGCAGACACTGCGAGGGGCTTCCTCACCCACTCCCCATCTATGCATCAGTGAGCACAGCTGTGTCCCATGCTAAGTCCTCAGGCGGCAGATTTAGAGTTGGAAGGGACCTTAGAGGTCATCTAGTCTTACCTCCTCATTTTAGAGATGGGCAAACTGAGGCTCACTGAAGATGAGTGACTCGCCCAAGGTGTAACAGAGAACAGAGCTGGGATTTGATGCCAGGTTCTATGAGTCCCAAATTCAGCAATCTTATGTTATGGGGAGGGGCAGGAGGAGGGATTCTCCCTCTCTGGAAAAGTCTCAGGTGTTATATGATGACCATAATAATGCTCACAACACTGAAGATCATCAGAACTGATAATTGCAGTGACCAGTCTTGACTTCAGAGAACTGACAGAGAAACACCTTCTTGGCAGGTGGTGGACCATGGATGTGGAATGCAGCATACCTTGTCATTCATGGCCAACAGGTCAGTTTGCTCTGCTTAGCTGTGTTTTTGTTACAGCACGGGGTACTATTGGAAGCAGGGGAGTGATTGACAGTCATATAAAAAACCATCAGTGCAATTTTTTTTTTTAAAGAAAAGTAATCCCTGGTGATTGAGATATCTCCCACCCTGCCCAGCCCACCCCCCGACTGGCTTACCTGTTCCAGGAGATTTCCCCTGAAATCTTCTGCATCTCCCCTAGGGTGGCTAGCAGCAGTGAAGACTTCCCGCAGCCCACCTGGCCCACAATCATGGTCAGCTGCCCTGCACAGAGGAGGAGCTGGCTGACAGAGATAGAAGCAGGGCAGGGCCCAGAAGGTGTACCACACATACATGTCTCTGGGGCCACAAATTTCTTCTGCTTTCCCCAAAGGAACCCCTTGGATCACCTCCCCACTGAATTCTATTCTCACTTCCTAATGACTTTCAAGATGGTCCACAAAATTTGGTCTCACCCTGACTATGCATTCTTATTTGCCATTATCCTCTCCTCATCCCCCCACCATCACCCTAGACACCTTGCTAGCTCCTACTCACAAGCCTTTGCACCCATTGCCCTGCCCTATCCTGCATTCCAGAGTAAGGCTGACTACGGGGGGGTGGGGGGTGGGGGGTGGAGGCAGAACACTCTCTATGGTAATTGACTGATAAGAGAAAGAGGAGAATCTTATTCTCTTCACAGGGATGTGGGAGATTCTCATAAATGTCAATATGAACATTTGGGCTCTTTTGGCCCAAAGGGGCAACTCAGGAAGGACAGAGAGTGAGCCTCAGGCTGAGGGTGAGTTGGTACCTTGTGGAATGCGGATGGTAATATTGGAGAGTGTGGGGACTCCATCAGATGTCCAGGTGAAGAATCCCCCTGTGATCTTCACCACCAGCAGCCCCCAGCCCAGAAAGAGAAGAGAACAAAGAATGACGGACAGGCCTTGAGACCTCCCATTTTTTCCTTTCATTCTCCTCTGCTTTCTCACATACTGTGATTCAGATGAATTATTTCCAGGGAACGAAAGGAGAGTAAGAGATCATCCTTCTCACATTCATCTTCTTAAAAAAGTCAATTCCCTCCTAGGGACTGAGCCCTTTCTCTGGGAGAAAGGTTAACTATACTAGAAGTAAGGCTGTCCTCCAGGGCCTCTGTTGGTTGTAAAAAAAATCTTAAGATTTGCTTGTCTTGACATCTGAATAAACTGGAGACCCAGGAGGTGGAAGGGTTGTCATTTGGCTCTGGGCCTTCAGGGTTCCTGAAGTCCACTACTAGGACCAAGGATGAGGACGAGATTTTTCATAGTGCCAAGGTGTAGGGACATGAAAGGGGTACAGACTCACCCGTACACAGCTGTCGTCTGGCTCTTCATCGGGGCCCAGTTTCTGCAGGTGCCCCATGAAGTTCCTACAGTCATCCCTGGAAGGCCGCTTACGGTTCACAACCTTGAGTGGCTTGGCAGGGAGGGAGAAGGTGGAGAGAGTTGGGGGACAGGTGGGTGCTGTGTATGGAGGAGCTCCTTCCTCATCTCAGGGATAGGAGAAGAGGAGAAACCTCAGAGTGGCTATGAGGGGAACCTACTGAACATCTCTTCCTCAGTGTGGTCACCCATAAGATGCTCACTCTGGAGTGGGGGAGTCCAGCACTCATTCTGTCCCTCATTACACTGGTGGGGACAGAGAAGGAAAAAGGTCTGGGCATGAACTCCAAAGTGAAAGGTCAGGGGTAGAGGAACTCACCACTGCCTGAGATTTGCTGCTCTGGCCCTTATAAGGGAGCTCATGCTGGGAGTACTGATCCTTCCCAATCTCTTCACTGGACAAGAACTCGCTCAACTTCTGGACGCTGTGGAGAGAGCAGAGGTCTCTAATGTCCTGGGCGTGCATATACCAAGAGTGGGGAGGGCAGCTCCTCTCATTCTGGGGGTGGGAGGAGGTCTCTTGACCCAACACTTCCTGCTCCTCAGAGACTCAGTACAAAGAGAAGAAAGCCAGGGCTGGGTAGCTCCTCACCATCTACAGGCAAGTGGGTATGACTGCTCTTCCCTGAAGTCTGTGGGTGTGTGTCATGGGTTGGGGAGGGGGAAGGGTGGGCAATGACTTTAAGATCAAGGTCAGTTAGTTACTGTTGGGATTAGGGCCGTACATTTCTCTTCCTACCTACCCACTCTTTACCCCCATGGAATTCCTTCCATCACTGTGTGAGATGGTCTCAGGGATGCCTGAGAGTCCCAGGAAGTCAAATAGCTCCTCTCCTCTCCTGTCCTCTCCTTCCTATCCCTCTTCCCTCATTGGACTTGAGTGTAACTCCCTGGTCTACCTGTGTGACCCTGAGCAAGTCACTTAACTTCTACGGACCTCAATCCCCTCATCCATAAAATGAAGAAGATGGCCCAGATGACTGCTAAACTCCCTCCCAGCTTCAGGACCTATGATTCCAGGGTCTGCCTGTGGAAAGGAATCAGAAATCACCCAGGGCCCCAGGTGTTTTCCTTGTCTTTACTTCAGAGTTGGATTTAGAGATGAGCACACATCAGCCCCCGGCTCTCTAACCCATAAAGAAACAGGAGTTGTTAGGAACTGGAGGAGGACCGAGGAGCCAAGTGGCAGCTGTGTCCTTGTGAGTCTAGCCAGTCGTCTCTAATCTGCACTCAGCATTGCATTTGTAAATCCCCAGGAAGGACAAGTTGATAGGCCTGTGTGAGTTCAAGCCTGACCTCTTCCAGCTGCCAGTCCCCATGACCTAAGGGAACTCCTTAAGGTCACAATGATTTCAGGAAGAGGTGGAGGGGCTGCTCATCTAGGGCTGAGGGGAGAGAAGAGGCCTTCTCCTCTGTTTGTTTCCCCTCCAAATGAAAAGGTCTGTGACCTAACTGCCTGGTTACGCAGTCTGGTCTCCTGGACACTAAGTGTACCCGTGAGGGTTTGCATATAGAAACTCCTGATTTATAATCATCTAGCCGCAACTGCCCTGGAAGGTTAGGCATCTATGCATTTGTGGTTTTTCCCCTCACATAACTTCAACCTGGTCATAGTTAATAATCTCTTAAGTAGATTGCTGTAGGCACTTTTCTAATATTTTATTCAATATTTTACATCAATATTTATTAGAGATATTCTTCTAGTTTTTTTTTCCTCTAAAAAAGAAATTGGATGAGCCCTCAATAATTCTCCAAGAAAAAACCCCAGGCCTGGATGGATTTGTATGTTAATCCTATCAAATAGTGAAAGATTGAGGAATTGCCTCTGGGGTTTTCATATAGAACCCTTTGTATGGTTAATAGAAAGCTACCCTAATGTGCCCTTATTTGTGTTACCACCCCTGTGGAGGCCACGCAGGATTGCCTCAGCAGGGTGGGTAACTTACTCTGATATGATTCCTGGTTGTCAGCTACTCTGCTCTGACAGCTATGTTCCCTACCAGCTTATCACTGGGCAGGGAGCCCCCCTTCCCCATAGGTAGGAAGGACCAGGACTCATATGGGATTGCCCAATGAGCCAATTTCACAGGGCAAGGTTGGACATACTTTCTTCCCCATGGGATAATTGAGAGTGGGATGGGCTGACCTAAAGAATCCTTGACCCCCTTGAGGCCCAAGAGTCTAGTTTAGCTGTGCACCAATCTGGCTTGCTTTTGCTATTCACTTGTTTCAGTCATATCTGACTCTCTGGGACCCCATTTGGGGTTTTCTTGGCAAAGGTACTGGAGTGGTTTGCCATTTCCTTCTCCAGCTCATTTTACAGAGGAGGAAACTGAGGCAAACAGAGTTAAGTGCCTAGGATCCCACAGCCATTAAGTGTCTGAGGCCAGATTTGAACTCAGGAAGATGAGTCTTCTTGACTCTTGGTCCAGTGCTCTATCCACTGTGCCACCTAACTGCCCCACTTCTGGCTTGCACCAAAGTGTAAATGGCCCTGGGAAGGCTAAGTGTTTAACCATCTATCAGGTCTCCATATTTCAATATGAATGACAACCAGCTCTTTCCTTGGGAGATTTTTATTTGTTTGTTTGTTTAAATACCCAACCCAGAAATCATTTCAGCAGAAAGATTAATGGACCTGGAGCCAAAGGGGCTGCATCCACATCCCAGCTGATGTTTGTTACCTAAAATGCCCTTGGGCAATTCACTTAAATGCTCTATGTCTCAGTTTCCCCCTCTGTAAAATGAGTTGGCCTATAGCCCTATGTGGCCTGTGAGGTTCTTTCCAGTTCTAGATCTATGATCCTGTGATTTCATTAGTGAGGAAGTAGCTTCTACCAATATTGATTAGTAATTATCCTGAAACTTAGAGACTTAAGAGAGTTTGCCTGAGGACATTGAGAGATTCTGTGTTATGTTCAAGGTCAGAGTCAGTGTGTCAGAGGCAGGATATGAAGTCATCTCTTCCCGACTCCCAGGCTGGTTCTTTAGTCACTGAAGTTCTCTTCGGACATAGTAAGCATTTAATAAATGCTTGTTGGTTGATGGATAAGGGGAGGTGGGGGAAGAGGAAAGAGTCTAGAACTCTCAGAGAGGGACAGATTCCTATGAGGAAGAAAAATATCATAAGGAAAGATACCTCTCTCCTCCAGCAAATTTCATAATTTTATTGGGATTAGCTGGTCAAGGAATAGGGTGGGTTAAGAAGTATTCCTTTGACTAGGAAACTAAGAAAGTCCAGCCCCTGCCTCCTTTCCCTCCCCTACTCCTGGTGCCCTCTCCAGAACCTTGGATAGGGAGTAGCTAACCTTGCATTCACTCCTGGGCCCCGGGAGGTCCAGGCTGACTGGCTAATGTGCTGATGGGGGGTGTGGGGGGATATAGCTGGTGCAGACCAGAAGAAGAGAGGCCAGCTGCTCTGATGTCATCAGTCAGTGAAGCTGCATCCCTCATATAGATGAACCCAGGTGTGTCCACCCTGACCCTCAGGGCAGGCTTCTAGAAAAGAGACAGTGTTTTCGTTCTCACTACATGGCAGAGGGGACTAGGGAGTGGAGTGGGATGGGTGTTTCCTCTTACCTGACCAGGGCTTTGACGGTTGACCGGACCACACTGGACAGCAGGAACAGGGGTGTGACCAGGATGTGGAAGAGGGAGAGAGATGCAAAAGCCACCGATGGAGAGAAGTTGGCCCCTTTGAAGAAGCTGACATGGCTCACGAATGTCTGGGGGACAGAGAAACGACATCTGGAAGTAGGATCAGGGCATGGGTAGTAGAAGTTGGGGGCCTGGGCCCAAAGAGAAGAGGGCTAGTGAGAAAGGGTGAGATCTGAGGAGGAGTAGGAGCTTTTAGAGCCTGAGGAACCTTCCTCAGGTGGTGGAGACATCGTCATAGGATCACTCAACCATGAGTCTACAGCTGGAAGAGACCTCAAGGGACAGCTAGTCCCATAGAGTTGAACTCAAATAGGAATGGTGGGCGCTAAGCCATATGTATGTCTCCCTGCAAGCAGTATATTGATTTAGAAAACATATTAACATTATCTGTGTTCTTGCTGTTCATTTGTGTCCAACTGTTTGTGACCCTGTGGTTCATATCACGCTAATACTGTCCATGGGATTTCTTGGTAAAGATACTGAAAAGTTTTGCCATTTTCTTCTCCAGAGGTAAAGAGAGGTTAAGTGACTTGTCCAAGGTCACACAGCTAGTCTGTGTCTGAGGCCAGATTTGAACTCGGGTCTACCTGACTATAAGCTCAGGACTGTATACTGAGCTACCTAGCTGCCTCATAATCTGTATTCTACCGTGCTTTTATTTATTTTGTTAACTATTTCCCAATTACATTTTAATCTGGTTCTGGCCTCTCTTGGGAGTGTTATAGGACATAAAATGTTAGATGCTTCTAGTCTATCCTCTCATTTTACAGATGAGGAAACTGAGGCCCAGGGCAGTAAAGAGACTTGACCAAGGTCACACAGTTTTAAGCATCAGAGCTGGGATTTGACTCTAGGTTCTCTGACTCTGGGGACTGTGCTCTTTTGATTCCTCACTAGGTTTTCTAGACCAAGGATTCTTAATCTGGAGTCAATGAGGCCTGCAGACAGATTTCAGAGGGGTCTGTGAACTTGGATGGGGAAAAATTACATCTTTATTTTAATTTACCTGGTTACCTTTGTAATACGATGTATTTTATTTTATGCACTTAAGAACACCGTCCTGAGAAGGGGTCTATTGGCTTCACCAGACTTTTAGCGGGGTCCATGACACAAAAAAGGTATGAACTCCTGGTCTAGACCATGAATGAGAAACCTTTAGTATTAGAGTGCTGATTAGTGAGGCTGAACTGCTTTTTTTCCATCTTTTTTTATTCTTTGTTATAAGGGATGAGTCTTAGGGTAGATGAGAGCAGGGGATATATATTTGGAAATGAAAGTGATTTAAGAACAAAAGATACCAAAAAAAAAAGGTGCCCCTAGGGAGTAAAGAGTTAATGCCTTATACCTCTCTTTTTCCCTCCCTCCCTCTCTCCTTCCTTTTCTCTTGTTCAGGGGAATAACATCAGGAGGAAACGTGAATTAGATAACCCCTACTCTGTTCCTTCAGGCAGTAACTTACGTGCTCTGTGTGGTCAGATGGGAAATAGAAACACGGTGATTATGAAACAGCCTCCTTTCCCCTCCAGCCTTTCATTGCTTTGCTGGCTCTAAAGGCATCTATTACCAGGACAAATTGCATTCAGCCTGAGCAGGGTTCAGACAAAGCAGGTCCCGTCAAGTGAATTCCCAGGCATGATTGATAGGGAGTGAGCTTGGGGACTGTGCTCTTTAAAACTCATAGCTGGGGTTGAGCTGCTGAGGCCTGGGGTGAGGTGAGGGCTCCTTCATGGTGTGTGTGTATGTGGGTGGGTGAGGGGGTTCCTGGGTATTCTTTCAATGTTTAATTCTCCTCTTGTGCTTTAAATCCTCTCCATATACTTGGCAATCCAGTGACACCGGTGCCCTTGCTGTTCTTTGAACAAGATACACCATCTACCACCACCTCTGTGCATTTTCACTGGCTGTCCTCCACACCGGGAATGTTCTGCCTCCTCATCCTCATCTCCCAGCTTCCTTCAAGATAGCTCAAATTGGGGGCGCTAGGTGACACAGTGAATACAGCACCAGCTCTGGGGTCAGGAAGGACCTGAGTTCAAATGCAGCCTCAGACACACTTAGCTGGGTGACCCTGGGCAAGTCACTTACCCCTATTGCCTTGCAAAAAAATAATAAAAAAAAAGATAGCTCAAATCATACCTTCTGCCCAAAGCCTTTTTTGATTCTCCCTAGTATGAGTGCCTTCCCTCTGAGATTCTCTCCATTTTTTCCTTTCTGTATCTTTTTTGTGCATAGTTTTGCCTGTTGTCTCCCCCATTAGACTGTAAGCTCCTCGAGGGCAGGGAAAGTTGTTTGTTTGTTTTTTGTATCCCCAGCATTTAGCACACGCAGCAATTGACATATACTTAATGTATTCCTGTTGACTTCTCGGTTCTTTTCCCAACCCCCAATCCTTTCAGCAGGTGGGTGGGCAGTCATTTGAGATGAGAAAATAAAGGAAGCTTTCATCTTGACCCACATTTGAGTCCAGGTCACTTTCAGAACACAGCTCTTGGGGGGGGGGGCCCTCCTCCCCCACACCCAAGCCAGCTAAGAAGACCATAGGGAAACTACAGACAATGAATGAGTCCCCGTTCAACTCTATTCTCCTGACTCCTCTCCTCTCCCCTCCCTCCAAATTCTATAACTTCTCTAAGAAGAAAGAAACAATTACTTACAATCAGGACAGCTGCGATAGGGATTGCCGTGTTCATAAAAACTGCAGACAAAGCAAACACAGTTATTTAGAATAGCTGACTATTTCTGCTAAAATCATGATGAGAACTCCTTTTTTTTAGAATGTTGTAAGGTTTTATAAAGTGTTTTCTTCACAACAACCCTGTGAGTGTAAGGATAATTATTTCCATTTTAAAGATGGCAAAACTGAGGCTCTAAGAGAGTGACTCAACCATAACCACATAGCTAGTAAGTGGCTGAAGTAGGATTTGAACCCAGGACTTCCTGATTTCAAGTTCAACACTTAGTTACTAATACTACCAGGAGAACAGATAATGAAACGTAACTTTCATTCTCCATAGAGATGTGTAGGACTAAGAGGACAGAATACTGCATATTTTGTCAAATAGTTACTATGTCATTTGCTTTGGTTTAACTGTCTTTTACTGTTACAAGGGAGGATTGAATTCCTAGTAGTGGAAGATCTATCCAGAAAATGACTGCAATGTAAAACCAAAATGTCTATTTAATAAGACATCTAATTAAAAAAAATCAGGTACAACAAAGGTTACTAACATTCATGTATTACTCTAAGGTTTGCAAAGCACATTAAATATATTACTGCATTTTAACCTCACAAATTTACATTTTACAGATGGGGAAACTGAGTCTGAGAGAGGTTATATTACTTGTCCAGGATCACCCAGCTTTTAAGTGTCTGAGGAAGGATATGAACTTCCGCCTTCCTGAATCCAAGTCCAGGGCTCTCTAACCATAGTCCTATTTATATTGGGATTTCATCTGTGACAGAGCTTCTTAACCAAGGATCCATGAACTCGTTTTTAAAAATATTTTGATGACTGCATTTCAATATAATTGCTTTTCTTTGTAATCATATTTATTTTATTTTATGTATTTAAAAACATTACTCTGAGAAGGGATCTGGGGCTTCACCAAATTGCCAAAGAGGACCATAACCATAAAAAAGGTTAAGACCCCTAATCTACATGGATGGGGGGGCACCTCCCTTCATGAATACAGATTATGGTGTCTCTAAAATTTTGTGGTTTTACAGTTGAGTTTCAGTGGCCACAAAATTCATTGCCATGAGACCAATTTGGCAATGTGCCTCTCCAAACTTGGCTGTTTCCCTGGACAATATTCATACAGGTTACCACTGGGCCATACTCAAAGCCTTTCCAGTTAGAAAGGACCTATTAGAACTGGTGCTCTGTTGATTAAGCCTTCAACGACCCAAGACATCAGAGGAGATTTTGGAGCAGGACTTGAGTAACAATAATAATAGTAACAGTAGTAATTATGATAACAATTACAATTATAAAGGGGTTTAAGGTTTATAAAGCACTGTCCTTACAATAATCCTTAGGAAAAATAAGGGATGGAAAATGTAGGAGAATGGCAATGAATAGTATATGGACATGGTAACCCAGGCAGACAAACTCGGATTCTGGCTCTCATTTACAAGATGCCACTTCTATTCCGGGTCTGCCATGTTTGGGCTTCATTAGCAGGGCTCCTGTATCTTCCAAGTGAGACAAAGAAGAGGGAACAGGATGGGAAGGTGTGTGGGGGGGGGTGGAGAATGACTCAGTATTCAGGCATCATCTGGTTCCCTTAGGACACTGTCCTTCTTGTTCTAGTATACTGCAAGAGTTCTTCACCATGATTTCAGAGGACCGGTGATGCAACGCATTGCCCATTAGCTACGAGGCAACTAGGTGGTGCAGTCATTAGAGTGCTGGGCCTGGAGTCAGGAACACTCAGGTTCAAGGCTGACCTCAGACACTAGCTGTGAGAATCTGGGCGAGTCACTTAACATCTGCTTGTTCAGTTTCCTCCGCTGTAAAATGGGGATAATAACAGTTCCTGCCTCTCAGGGTTGTTATGAGGGTCCAACGAGATATCTGTGAAACATTTAGCACAGTGCTTAGAACACAGTAGGTGCTACATAAATACTTATTTCCTACCTCCCTCTTCCTAACAGAGAGAAGATGGACTAAATATGTAAGATGAGACACAGTTTTGGACATGGCCAATGCGAGAATCTGTTTTGTTTAACTATGCTATTTATGACAGGGGTTCTTTCTTTTCTTCCTTCCTTCCCTTCCTTCTTTCTTTTTTCTTTCTTTGTCTCTTTCTGCAGGTGGGGTGGTCAGAAGGAGAAAAATGCTTGGTAATGCTAATTAAAACGTATCCCATTAAAATAAATAACTTTTCTTTTCTTGGTGAGGCAATTGGGGTTAAGTGCCTCATCCAGGGTCACACAGCTAGTCACATAGCTAGTTAAGTGTTACATGTCTGAGGCTGGATTTGAACTCAGGTCCTCTCGATTCCAGGGCAGTGCTCTATCCACTGTGCCACCTAGCTGCCCCTAAAACAAATAACCTTTAAAGGCAAAGAGACACACACACAGATTGGGGGGGGGAGAGAAAGACAGAGAGAGAGAGAGACAGATAGACAGAGACACAGAGAGAGACACAGAGAGAGGGAGAGAGAGACAGAGAGAGACAAAGACAGACAGACACACACAGACACACAGACAGACAGAGAGGCAGACAGAGAGAGAGACAGAGACATAGCTATAGACAGACAGAGACAGAGAGACAGAGAAGCTGACATGTTGGGAGTGAGAGACTGAGGAAAAATATGGACCAAGTACTCCAGGAAATTTTTAGGAAGGAAAGGATATTCCTAAGTTGGGAGGTGGGGTGAATGTTGACCCCCTTGTTGGAAGTAGGAGGTGACTGGTGCCTGCATGGACCTCCCCCAAATCCTTCCAGTTCTGGTCCTTGATGGTAGGATGTTAGTATGCCTGGTATGGCAGAGAAGTTGAGCTGGATTTCCCTGGTGTTCATTTTAAGAGACAGCTGCCCTGGCAAGCTGGCCGACACGATTGGTAATGACACCCGGAAGCTCCTGCCCTCCACCTCAGCTCATTTCTTTTCTGACCTTGACTCTCCTAAATCACCATGCAGCATCTTCCTTCAAGTTGCTGGACGCCAGGCTCTATAATAAGCCCAATGACAGAAACTGCATTGTGCTCTCTCAAGTAGCCACTTCTTTCTCCAATTAGGAAAGATACCCAAGGCTGGGGCCAGGCATGTGCATTTGGACACCTTCCAATGAGCTTTTAATGCAGTAGGACTTTTCTCCAGTGTATTGGAAGGAAAGGATAGGATGGTCAGCACCATTCTCAAGGAGCCACCCAAAGATTACTTCTCAAAAAGTTTGGAGGAGGCTGGCTGACCATTCGTAGGAAGTTTCTAGTCTAACAGGGAAGACAGTAGGGTATGATGGAAAAATCACTAGCTTGGGAGTCAGGGGACCTGAGTTCAAATCCCACCTCTGATTCTTAACTGCTTTGGGCAAATCATTTAACCACCCTGAAACTCAGTTTCCTCATCTGGAAAATGAGGGGAGGGGGTTGGCCTTGATGGCCTCTGACGTCCTAATTCTGGATCTATGATCCTGTGACATGTTGCCTGCCCTTAAGAAGACCCAATCTGCTGTAGCCCCTGCCTTGGAGGAGCTACTACTGTGGGGACAGAGAGGATGCCTAACTTTGGGAAGCTTCCAGTCTGGGGGGGGGACCTTGAGACTTTTTCCAAGATGTCACATCCCACTGCGCTTACCACAGCAACTTGTACACAGTAGGTGCTCAATAAATGTTTGTTGAAAATAGGAGGGCTCTTGGAATCATGTCAGCCAAAGATCAATTGAAGGAACTAGAGATGCCTAACCTGGAGAGAAGACTTGTGGGGAAACATGAAAACTCACCCCCGGCATCTGAAGAGCCATCACTGGGGCGAGACATTGGCCTTACTCTTTGTAGCTTCCTAGAGGCATATCTAGCACCAGCTATCAGCCAAAGCCACCTAAGTTCAACCGCCTCATTTGACAGAAGGGGAAACTGAGGATCAAGGAGGTTAAGTGACTTGTCCACAGCCACACAGGTAGGAAACGTCAAAGCTGAGATTTGAGGCCCAGGTCCTCTGAAACAGAGCCAGGGCTCTTAAGAGCAGATCTTGTAGACAGTTTTCCCTTTGCATCTCATTTTCACCAACCTTTAGTTGCTTGTTTTTTATTTTATACATTTATTTTACACTATGTTATGGAAATGCTTGTTTTATTCCATAAATTAAAAATAAAATAAAAAATCAAAAAAGACATTATTCTAAAAAGGGGTCTATTGAATTTGTCAGATTGCCAAAGGGGTCCATGATACAAAACAGTTTGTTCTCCAACCCCTTCATTTTACCGAAGGGGAAACTGAGTTTCAGAGACAGGAAGTGAGTGGCACAAATCAGGGTGCTAGCCGATCTGAGACAAACCCAAACACTCCAACTCCAAGGTCAGTGTTGTTAGCAGCCCAAGCTGTTACCACTGGCCCCTCTTTCCCTTTCTGTTATACAGATACTGCTGTGATTAGGTAACAACTGCAGTCTGAAAGCTGCTGCATTAATCCAGGCACGTATAGGGTTCCAGAGGTAATAAATGTCTTACCTAGCAGCCCAAATGTGCCTTCTGCTTAATGCCAGCTTCCCTGCAAGGGCGGGCATGGCGGGGGGAGGCAAGGATAGGATATTGGAGGTGTCCCAGCCTGGGTCTAATTGGAATTCACAGCTGCACCAGGAAGGCTGCAATTTGTACTTGAGCTAAGGCTGACAGATCACCTGGTGTGGTGTTCCAGGTCCCATTGTCTATGAAAATCCACAAAGCATAACAGAACAGACCATGACCAGTGAATCTGGTGCTGGTTCCAGAGAAGCCTCAGGGACTTCTCAGGTTACTTACTGAACGAATTCATGGCTGCATCAATGACCCTCACCAGCTTATCCTCCTCCAGACCCACTGCCCTGTTCTCACTCTGGTCTGGGAAAGGGAGCCAGTGATAGGACACCCAATCTACCCATTGTGGCCCTGCAGTAGACTGGCACAATGAATGAGGATATCAACGAATCGGAAACTGAATCTGAGCTGGGGCACTGAGGTCACTCTGTCCTCCCTCTCCTGGGGCAGGAGTGCCAGGACGCCAGCTGCCAAAGGTAGCTCTGAGGGACCCCAGGGCTGATGAGTGGGAGACGTTCAGTTTCAGTCATTAAGAAAAGAATACCTGAATCCTCAGGATTGAATAGTGGTCACGTTCTCACGCTTCCTTATTTCACAGGGTATGATCAGCCCCATTCTCCAAAGGAACACTGAACCAGGATCCCATGATTCCCTGACACTCACATTCATGTTGTGAACAAGGAAAGCCCCTCCCCGTGGGTGCCTAGTCTTCTGGGCTCTACGATCAGATAAAGTACTGGACCTGGAGTCAGGAAGACCTGAGTTCAAAACTAGCCTCAGACACTTACTAGCTATGTGATCCTGGGTAGGTCACATAACCATGCTTGCCTCAGTTTCCTCATCTGTAAAATGGGGAATCTAATAGCACCTACTTTCCAGGTTGTTGTGAAGACAAAATGAGATATTTGCAAAGCACTTTGCAACCCTAAAGTGCTATAAAAATGCTAGCTGTTATTAAGAAAGGTTTGGAATAGCTCCTGTGGGAGTGACATAGGGAATCAATTAGGGAGGAATTAAAGGATTGTCTTGCTTTACTGAGGGCCCAGCTGAAGTAGAATAACACGAGTCTATAGTGCATTCAGTAAGCACCGTTGAGATTTCTTCTAGTTCCATTTAGCAGGAGAGAAGGAAATTGCAGGAGTATCTCTATCTTATCTTTTTTATTACACTGTGAGCTCCTCTAAGACAGAGTAATAAAAAAGATATTCTCCATAATGGCTAAGGAAGCCAGGTCTGAGGTCACACGAGAGAAAAAATGTTTTATACAGAAATATTGGAATATTCAGATGCTGAATCAGCAGGACACATTCTGGGCTAGACATAGCCCGGTGCATTATGGTCATATCTTTACACTTTGCCTCAGAGAAAGAGGCCGAGGTGTTCGGGATGCTGAGCAGGGAGCCTTCAAGAGGGGACCAAGGACAAACTGACTTCTAATGGTGAGGGAGAAGAGGGAGGTGTCTGCAGCCGCTCCCTGTCTAAACCTCATTCATTCTTCAAAGCCCAACTAAGCTCTTACCTTCTCCAGGAAGTGTTCTCTGGCTACTCTGCCTCATGGTCTCTTTTCCCTTAAGATTCTATAGTTTTCACAGTCTGGACTAAATAGTTTTCTAATTGATTCATGTGCGTTAATCTTGTCTCCCCAGGCAACTGTGGGGTCCTTAAGGGCAGGGACCATGTCTCATAGGTGTCTTATTTCCCTGATAGCTCTTTGTATAGGGCTGGATACATTGTGGGTCTCATTGATTGACTGATTCATTGATTGATGATTCCACTGTTTCCTACCAGCTGGTACTACTTCCTCTGGGTATTCATGCCTAATAAGTCTGTCCCTGAGCCTGCCCTGTTTCCCCTCTAGCATCCAATACAGAGTTCAGCTGCCTCACACAGTCTGGCCACCAAGGGAGTGCCCAGGTAGGCCCTGTAAGGACATATTTCTCCAAAGCTCCTGGCCCCAGGACCCTCCAGCTGACCCATTAAAGATGCCCCATTAAACTCAAGCCTAATGAACTGTGTCTGGACACCTGGCTACCTGAGGTGTGTGTGTGTGTGTGTGTGTGTGTGTGTGTGTGTGTGTGTGTGTGTGTGTGTGTGACCGTGACCAAAAGACACAAGCAGGCATTAGAGGGAGACACCAGCAGCCAGAGGGCATCGCCCTCCCTCTGTATTCCCTCCCACTGCCTTTTCAATGTGGTGCAACAGAAACACGTGGGCCAAAGCAAATATACTGAACAAATACCATTTTATTTTTAAAGCTTTCCTTCCTTCTCTTCCCTCCATCTCCCACACCACTAGATTGATCTGCTAGGCCTCGTTAGCTGCCTCAGAAGCCAAAGCAGGTTCCCTTCCCAGATGTTCAGAGATCCCAGTAATGTCCCTGTTTCCCCTCCCTTCTCCCATACCTACCTGAGCCCTCCCCCATACCCCTCTACCCAGAGTCCTGCTTATTCATGCCTCATTGAATGAAGGACTCTGTTTCCTAAGCCTCGACCCAAACCTAACTTTTCCCACTCCCCTGGGGTCCTTTCAGAGCCCACCCCCACAAGCACTGGTGACTGGTCTACTGACCCCCTGCTCCTCACCATGTCTCTGAGGGATTGAGTTAGAACAGTCATCTACTTTCCCAGAATCTCCTTCCCCCCAGATGGTTTTCATAGGATTTTGAATTGGAAGAGATACTTAGATTTCAGCTGGTCAACCTCCTCGTTTTACATATGAGGAACTTGGGGTCCTCAGAGGTCATAAGTGATTTATCCAAGATCACTTAGGTCACTTGAATCCAGGTCCAACGTTTTCCCCTTTATGCCAATCTTCTCTATGCTATACCTTAGATCTAGACCTGGGATTTCATCAGGGGAGGGAGATCCCCCAAACTAAACTCTCCCTAACAATAAAGATCAGTAGCTAGTGGGCAGCGTAGGTCCTGGGCTCACAAACCTGGGGTCAGCAGAGACCTCCAAGTCTCTTTGGTCTAGTCCCTTCATTTTACAGATGAGGCCCAAGGTCATACAGCTAGTACTTATGAAAAGATTTCAATCCAGGTCCTCTGACTCCAGACTTTGTACTGTGCCATTAGACTGTCACCTCCTTGAGGGCAGGGGCTGGAGTGTTTATTTTGTTTTATTCATTTATTCGTTTATTCATTATTTAGCTTTTCTTTGTCTCCCTAGTGCTGCCTGGCACATAGGAGGCACTTAATATATTCCAGTTGGCTGGCTGACCATGCTGCCTCCCTGAGGCATGTCTTTATACTTGTTCCAAGCCTGACCCAAGAGCCCAGCTCCACTTCTTACCCTCACAAGGAGCCCACTTTTTTTTTTTTAGGCAATTGGGGTTAAGTGACTTGCCCAGGGTCACACAGTTAGTAAGTGTCAAGTGTTTGGTCTGAGGTCAAATTTGAACTCAGGTCCTCCTGACTTCAGGGCTAGTGCTCTATCCACTGTGCCACCTAGCTGCCCCAAGGAGCCCACTTTTCATTACGGAACAAACATTTATTAAGCACCTACTAGGTGCTTCTCACTGACTCTTCTCCACTCCTCTCAGGCTGGCTGGAGTGGGGGTAGTGGTGATGATGAGGAGATTGAATTTCTTTTTCATTTTTAAAGCCTCAGTTTCCCCATCAGATGAAATGGGGACAACGATGGATATATAGGAATATAGTTTTCAATATATCCCAGAAATGATGGCAGGTAGGCGGCACAGTAGATCAAAGCCTGGACCTGGAGTCAGGAAGGCTTGAGTTCAAATCCTGCTTCAGATGTATTAGCTGTGTGACCCTGGGCAAGTCATTTAACCTCTGCTTGCCTCAGTTGCCTCAATGGTAAAATGGGGACCATAATAGCACCTACTTCCCAAGTGGCTGTAAGGATCCAATGGGATAGCTGTACAGTGCCATATAAATACCAGCTATGATCATCAGCGCCATGTCCTGGCAGAGATGATTTTTCAGGGATGGGTTGGACTACATGGCTGCTGAGCTCCTGACTCAGAAATCCAGTGATTCTGTGACTTACTAGAGATGGAGGTGTAGATGGCGAAGGCCTTGAGGCTGGTCATCTCCTTCCTCCGAGTCATCTCCACCTGAGCACGGAAGATGTTTTCCCAGGCATAGAGTTTGAGAAGTTTGATCCCCCGGAGCATTTCATTGGTCTTTTTCAGCCTCTCATTGGAATATTCCTGCCAGATTCACATGGGGTTAGGTCGGAGCTAGTATGCCCATGTCATCTCCACCCTCCCCACCCCTGCCACTCATCAAGCTTCAGTGGCTCCTTATTACCCCTGGCATCCAATAAAATAAAAACTCTTCTGTTTGGCATTTGAAGCCCTTCCTGTCTGTCTGGTCTTCTTACAAATGGCTCCCCTCTGAGAATTTCCTTATTCAAGTCATCCTAGCCTGCTTGCCACTCCTTGAGCTGCACTCCATCTTTTATCTCCGTGCCTTTGTATTGGCTGCCTGTCCCCCATGCTTGGAATACTCTCTTTTATCACTTCTGTGCCTTGGATTCCTCAGCTTCCTTCAAGGCTCAGATCAAATGCCACCTTTTACAGGAAGCCTTTCCTGGTCCTCCTTCCTGCCCTACTCAGAGCCTTCCCCTCTACAGTTACTTTCCATCTATTCCATATGAATGTTATATACCTATTTATGTACATACCTCCTCCTCTAGTAGAATGTAAGCTCCTTGAGGGCAGGGACTGTTTTTGGCTTTCTCTGTGGTCTCAGTGCTTAGAACAGAGTGCAGTCCTTTGACTGAATCCAAACTTCACAGAACAAATCCCCTTAATGAAAGGATTTGTTCTGTAAAACTTGGGCTCAGTCAAAAGGTGCCACCCAAGGACCTAGAAGGCCACATATGGCCTTGAGGCAGCAGGTTCCCCACCCCAGGCTTAGATCTATCTTGGTGCACAGTAAACACTTAATAAATGCTTTGATTACTTGACTTATTGATAAAATGATATAATATTTGTAAAAAGTCCTTAGCACAGTGCCTGTAACATGGTAGGCACTATATAAATGCTTCTTCCATTTCATTCTCTCTGAAGAGGACAGGCAGTTTATGGGCATCATAGAGTCTCTACAACTATGGGGTCCTAATTACATTAACATTTTAAAAATAGTATTTTACTTTTTCAATTACATGTAAAGACAATTTTCAATATACATTTTTATAAGATTTTCAAGTCCCAAATTTTTTCTCCTCCCCAGGATGGCAAGCAATTTGATATGGATTGTATTACATTCACTTTTACATTTAGGGTCTCACAACTAGATGGTGCTTTAATTTTCCGCACATAATCATTTCAAATGATTCTCAAAACAAGAAGAGCAGGAATTAAGCTCTTGGTCAACAGATGAGGAAACTGAAGCGAGTAAGGCATATTGATTGACTTGCTTAAAGTCAAGGGATAAATCAGTGGCAGAACCAAAACCCCAATCCAGGGGTTCTGTGGATGCTACAGGTCAGAGGCTGTGGGTCCTAGAGCCCACTCACACAGGAAATCAGAAACAACAGTTTGCTCCAATTTTCCTGCTTCACATGGACTAGAAGTGAGTCTAGGGGCACATATATTAGAGTCAGTCCCCTGTGCCAATGCTCCCCTCCCACACAAGAGCCTCCTAATTGGACTCCTCTGCACCTAGTCTCCATCTCCCGCCCTTTAGCTGCCTCTCCCCAATCTACTTAATGAGACCCTACTACCAAGTTGAAGCTCTGGTCATGAGCTCCCTTGCTCAACAAACTTTAATGGTTTATTCCTTGCTGCCTTCTGGATGCAGTCCTCCGTGCTTGGGTCACAACCAACCTTTCTAGCCTCATCCCTTTCATGCACATTATATTCCTTCAAGACTCAGCTCCTTAAAAATGTCTTTCTACATAAAGCTATTCCTGATTCCCCCACTGCTAGTAGCCATCCCCCCAAATTAGCTTGTATTTAGTGATTTAGTTTTTTTTTTTGCATTTTCTCTTTTTATTTGTTCTTTATGGTCAGTATTATTGCCTTTACCTTTAGGATATAAGCTTCTTGCAAACAGGGATTTTTTTTCATTCTTTGTACTTATAACCCAACAGCCTGTCACGTAGTCTGTACATATGTAGCAAATTTTTCTTGATTGATTCCAGCCTCTGCTTACCCCATTCCTTCCACCTGTTATGCCCTCCCCATTCCATCTGAAATATTCCCCATGCATCAAGGCCTAGATCACCTGCCTCTTCCTTCTCCTCCTCCTCCTCTTCCAGAAAGCCCTCCTTTCCTCATTTCTCCAGGCAGAAAGGATCTCTCTAGTTTCTGAATGAACACATGTCCATTCTCTTTTCAGTTCTTATCACCCTTGACTCAGCACAACGTTTATTTGTTTACATGTTTGATCTCCCTTACCACTGATCAACCATCAAGCATTTATTAAGTACCTACTGTGTGCCAGCCACTGTACCAGGCACCAGGGACACAAATTCAAACAGCAGACAGTCTCTGCTTTGAAGGAGCTTACATCCTATTGAGGACTGTGAGCTCCATGAGGGCAGGGATGCTGGGCTTATTGATTCTTGTGTATCTCCCTCAGCACCTAGGACAGGGCTTTGCATGTAGGAAGCACTCAGTAAATGTCTATTAATTAAAACTTTGTTGAATTAAACTCTAACCTCTGTGCCTCTGCTCATCCTGGTCCTTCTATTCTGGAACACCCTCCTCTTTTTTTTTTTTTTTGGCTATACAAATCCTATCTGTCCTTCAAAATCCAGACCATCAGGCCTCTACCTTCTACTCTGGCTTTCACTGATCCTGCTGGCCCTTCCTATGGAGGAAGCTTGGCAGAACTTTGGAAAAAACACTGGTTGTAGAGTCAGAAGTCCTTGATCTTATACTTGTTAACTTTGTAGTCTTAGGAGAGTCACTTAACCCTTCAAAGCCTCAGTTTCATCATCTGTAAAATGGAGCAACAATGAAATATATACCTCATCATATACCTTGTATGATCACTGTGAAACCTTTGGAAGCCTTAAAGTGAAGTGTACATGTGAGTTCATACAAATGTGAGGCTTTAACATTGACTTCCATTCTGTTTTATATTGTTAGTTGATTTGTATGTGAGTCTTTGTGTCTGTTTCCCCAACTAGACCATAAGCTCCTTGAGAGTAGAGACTATGACCTAGCACAAGACTGAACACACAATAGGAGCTCAGTGCTCTCTAGTTTACTAACTGGGACTTGGACCCTCTGTGAGATGACAAGGAAGAGAAGAAGTCTTTAAGGCTGCACTGGCAAGAGAATTTCCTAAAGAATCTGGGGGAATCATCTTGACAGTTTTCTGGGGGAGAGCTAGGCATTGTAGAAGCAGCTGGGCAGTGCAGTGGATACAGAGGGCTGGACTTGGGATCAGGAAGATCTGAGTTCACATCCAGCCTCAGCCACTTACTAGCTGTGTGACCCAAGGCAAGTCACTTAATTTCTCTCAGCCTCAGTTCTTCCATATGTAAAATGGGACAGCAATATTACCTACTTTGTAAGGTTGTCATTAGGGTATAAAATATATATATATATATATATATATATATATGTTTATATATTATATTATATATTATGTATGTGCTTTATAAACTTAGAAGTCTACACATTTGTGGTTGAGTCATTTCATTCATATGTGACTCTTTGTAACCCCATTTGGGATGTTCTTGGCAAGGAGTAGTTTGCCATTTCCTTCTCCAGCTCATTTTACAGATGAGGAAACTGAGGCAAACAGAGTCAAGTGATTTACCAGGGTCACACAGCTAGTGTCTACATAAATGTTAGCTATTGTTAATTGAGAGGTGATGGGCTATAATGCAACTCTATAATTTCCCTTCATATTCCCGGAACCTTCTGGTGAAACTAAGGTTTCTTCCTGGGATGCAGCATGCTGGTGGATGGGCTAAGTCAGAAAAAGGACACTCAGAGGGTATCCTAGCCTTGTCTCTATTCTCTGCTATATGATTCAACCAAGATTCAGCGAGAGATGGGGAGGAAGAATTAGCAGAGAAGCAGCATCGGTGGCGCTTGGGGAGACAGAGAGAGGACTCAGGTAGGGGAAGGATGGGTGAAGGGGAGACAAAGGCAGACTGAAGGCACTCACCAATGTGCTCCTCTGGGCTTGGGAGAGCTTGGTAGCCACAAAGTACTGAATAGGAGCCAAGACAATGATGACTGCTGCTCCAATTAAGGCGCTGACCCCAAGGAGGTAGTAGAGAAGAATCACCCCCACAATGATCTAGGGAGATCAAAGAGAGACACATTCAATGACCAGGATCCTGGATCTAGGGCTGGAAGGAACCTCTGAAGCTCATTTTATAGATGAAGAAGCTGAGGCCCTAGGCAGTTAAGTTATTTGCCCAAGCCCATACAAGCAGTAAGCATTAGAAGTGGAATTTGAATCCAGGGCCTCTGACTCTAAGGTCAGTGCTTGCACCCCAAAGCTTCAACCAATGTTGACTGAGGGCTTGCTATGTGCAAGCAACTGCTATAGGCACTGGGGATACAAAGACAAAAAGAAAAATGGTCCCTTCCCTCAGAGAGCTTATATTCTACTAGAGATTTAAACAGAAGAATATAATCTACTTTGAGGAAGGAAATAGCAGTAACAACTAAGAAGATCAGGACAGCCTTCCTGTAAGAGGCAGACTTGAACCTCCAAGAAAAGAAAGCCCAGAATCCTCCAGTGATCTGTCAACAAATGCCCTGGGGTCTTCTCATGTTCCATAAAAATCGAGGGGCACGATGACTACTCTGCTCCTTGAACCTTAGAATTATTCCTTTTTCAGTTTGACCCTTTAAGTGATAGGATGTTTCAGGGCCAAGAATCAAACATGACCAACTCCAGTCCAGGTGGAAGACTGATAAAATTCATAGACTGGAAAATTTTTACATTTTTCTAAAAGGCTGGCCTCACCATTAATTCCAACCAGTTCTACTGCCACTTGGGTAAACTGAGGGACAGGATCACACAATTAGTAAGGGGCAGGACAGACAGAACAATACCCCTCACTCCCATTCCTATCATCTTGGTTACCACACAGTAGATAGTGTTAAGTTGACAGGCATTGTCAGCCAGTCCCTTGTGGACTGCTGGGGGCGGGGAGGTGGGTACCCCAAGTCACTCAAACTTTAGCCTGTAAGGCAATTGTTCAGCGCACTAGGTCGTTTTACTTTAAGGGTCTGTGTAATGTCCAGGGTGGGCGCAGGAATGGTTGAAGTAACCCCCCCCATATTTATTCACAGAATCAATTCAATATCCTGAGTTGTTACCGTTCATTTTTCTTTTCCTTGCATGTTTAGTTTTTTATGAGCCTGGTGAATCACTTCAGAAAAGAGAATTGTCCTATTCTCAGACCTTAGGAAAATGATGACTTGCTCATGAATATTTATGAAAAATGCAAATGGTTCCTACCAATGCCCAAAGCTTTTAGCTCAGAGAGAAGACTACAGAGCTTTTGTGTTGGAAATCCAGGCCCTTATACCATGTGTTTTGTTTTAGAAGATACATATAAACCTAATGGCCGCTTATAGAGAAAAGGAAGCTGAGGTCCACTGCTCAGTAACCTCAAACTTTAGTAATTGTAAGTGACTTCTTTCCTCTGGGAGCTTAGCAGAGGTTTCTTCTATTCTCACTAATCACAAAACTGTCTCTGGCTTTAACTAATAGCCTTTTGTAGAATCACTTTATCACACGGTTAATGAACTAAGGTTGGGAGAGCTCATTAAAAGGGAAGGTAACCCTGCCTACCCTGCTAATCCCTCATCACCTCCTCCAAAAACCTCCATTGGCCTCTGTTCCCTGGTTTGCTTCACTGGTTCTGTCCACAATGAGAAGCAATTATGTGACCAACAGACCAGACATCAGAAATTAGCAGGTATATTAGCAGGAATACCAGCCATATGCCCATATCCCTGACTGGTCATTAACAGGGCATCTGCTCCACGGCCCATCTCTTCCACCAAGCTGAGCATCTGGCTAATGTTCTATCACTTATCCTTGCTGTGATGACACAGACATCTATCTCCCCTGGATCCCACAGCTAAGAGATGGTCATACAACCTCTGTCCTTAGTCTTCTGGTTCATGCCCACTCTTCCAATGTTTTGCTCCTGCTCCTCAAAATCTGTTCTGCTCCAAGGGTCCAGATGGCCCATACCAAAGACAATATTGGGTCACTGGGGTGTGAATTCCAGAAGTGTGGGGTTAACACTTGCAGGGAATGGGGCAAAGGACAGTGCTAGGAACAGCCCTTTCCATTTCATCCTCTATTCTTGCAATGCTTGTCAACAAAGCTGTACACAACTGATTATCTAGCTCATATCTCCTATCTTGTCCACAAGAATGCCACAAGATGGGAAGACATATGAACCAACACAGAGTGAAGTATATGAATACAATGGAATATGCAGTGCTGTAACAATGAATATGAAGAATTCTGAAAAGCATGGGAAGACTTATATGAATGGATGCAGAGTAAAATAACCAGAACCAAGAAAATAGTAAACACAATGACTACAGCTATTGTAAACATGAATAACAAAAATGAAACTGAATGTTGTACAATTATAATGACCAAGCTTAACCTCAAAAATGAGAAAATGCAGAGCTTGGGGTTAGGGGGACTATAGGTATAGAACACTACATGTCAGACTTTTTAATATATTGGTTAGTTTTGCTGAATTAATTTTTCTTCTTTTTAACTCTTTTTTATAAAGGATGATTTTCTGGAAAGAAAAGTGGGCAGGATCCCTTTCAAACCTGGGGCAGTTTTCCTAAAGGGCATCTTAGTGACTTTGGCATTAAGTTTGGGGAGGGAGACATTTGCCTCTTTTTATGGCCTCTCTCCAACCCTTTCCCTAAAGTATCTGTCCCTGTGCAGACACATAGCATCTGCTCAGAGATCTTTCGGTCAGGAGCCTCATCTCCCTCTGCATCCATAGTACCAGTATCAGTCCCTCTTAATACTATGAGAGATTCTATCAGACATTTTGCACAAATGAAAGTAAACTCTACCTACAGCACTTCCCTGATTTATCAGTCTAATAACCCTGTCAAAAAGAGAAGTCAGGTTAGACTGGGATAAACTATTCTTGACAAAGCCATGCACTTGACTTAGCAAGTCACTTTGTTGACTCAGGAGTCTTTTCTAAATATTAACTGCATTTTAAAGACTGCCATCTCTGTGCAATGAGAAAGGGAGGCACTGAATCACAGTATGTGCAGGGGTGAGAGATGGGAAAGAGGTATTCACTCACAGAAAAGATTTGGGCAGTGGTGGAAAGAGAGCATTGGACTTGGAATCAGGAGATTTGGATTGGAGTTCTGTGTGACCTTAGACAAGTCACTTCACTCAAATAGGCTTCATTTCCTTTTTTTTTCTTTGTAAAATGAGTGGTTAAACTAAATGATCTCTAAGGGCTTAAGAATTGTGATTCTATCTGTGATAGTGGTGACTACAGCCTGAAGAGGAGGGGGGACAAACAGGGCTGAAGCAGAGGCCAAATATGAGGCTCTGGAATGTAAGGAGGAAGAGTCGGGTGTGACTCCCAGAGAGTGATGACCTCTCAGCTCTTACCTGTGCAGGCATTGCCCAGAGGTTTGGGCACAAGAAGAAGAACCACATGAGCTGGTTGGTGTCAATGGCGACCAGATTACAGATTTGTCCGGCAGTCATTTCTCCCATGGACAGGTTGGATGTGGAAAGATGCATGATTTTGTTATAAATCTTGGTCTAGGAACAAAAGCAGAGTTCTTCCATTACACAGGTGGATGATCCTTTCCTTCCTTGCTATCATGATTGAATTAGTTCTTATATCTTCAAAGTAGAATTTTTGCTTGTTGGATAAAACAATTAAAAATGGCAGAACCAAATAAATGGATAGGGATGGTAGTGTAGTGTGAAAAGAGAAATGGACTTTGAGTCAGGAGCTTTTGAATCCTAGCATCTTCTCTTATGGACTGTGACCCTGACAAAGTCAGTCAACAGACATTACCCGCCATATGCCAGTCACTGTGCTAAGTTCTGTGAATACAAAGAAAGGGAAAAGACAGTTCCTGCCCTCAAGGAGTTTACAATCTAATGGAGGAGACAACACACAAACAACTATTCAAGCTATATATAGGATAAGTAGGACATAACCAACAGAAGGAAGGCACTACAATGAAGAGAGATCAGGAAAGACTTCCTACAGAAGATGGATTTGAGCTGGGACATGAAGAAAACCAGGCAAGCCAGGGGATGGAGATGAGGAGGGAGAGTACTCCAGGCATGAAGGAGAGCCTGTGAAAATATCCAGAGTTGGGAGATGGGGGGGGTAACTTAACCTTCATAACAGTACTCTTTTTAAAAACTAATTTTGAAAATTTTATTGATATCTTTAAATTTTACAGTACTTCCATTTCTGAATATATTCACCTCTCCTTCCCTACCTAATGGAAAGTTTAAGAGAGAAAAAAGGGGAAGACACAGCAATTTAGCAAAGCTAGTTGGAACATCAATTGATTCTGACAGTAAGGACAACGTTCTATACTCATACTTTGTCACCTTGGCAAAGAAGGGAATGAGGCACATTTTCTTGTCTCTTCTTTGAGGACAGACTTGGTCATTATAATTATTCACTGTTCAGTGTTCAGTTTCTTTCTGTTGTTGTTTTGCCATTTACATCAGGTGTATTGTTTTCCTAATCCTGCTTATTCCCCTCTGTATCAATTCATCTTTGCATGCCTCTCTGAATTGTTCACATTGGTAATTTCTTATGGTGGTCATGAATTCCATCATGTGCATAAATCACATTTTCCACAATTTGTTCAGCCACTCTTCAATCGATGGGCACCCACTTTGTTCCCAGTGGACAGCAACACTTTTGCGGTAACAAAAAATGGGGAACAAAGTGGGTGTCCACAGTGAATACAGAGCTGGGCTGAGAGTCAGGAAGACCAGTTCAAATCTAGCCTCAGATACTTATTAGCTGTGTGGCTTTGGGTAAATCACATAACCCCTGTCTGCCTCAGTTTCCTCATGAGATGATGTATGTAAGATGCTTTGCAAACCTCAAAGCAATTTATAAATGCTAATTATCCTCCTCCTCGTCACTATTATTCCATGACGAACGAAGAATACGAATTCATAGAAACACGGGAACACCTAGTGCAGAGTGAAGAAAGCAGAACTAGAATAACATTATAAGGATGATTATAATAATATGAATGAAAGCCAACCAAAAGGCTGTTGAACTCAGCTTAATTGCAATGAACAAGCTTGGGTGCAGAGAATAGATAATGGAAGACACTTCCTCTCAGCAGAGAGGTGCAACACTATGGGCACAGGACACGTTGTGTGCACTGTTAGTCGAGGTCATGTTGGTTGGTTTTTTCTTAATTGTTGTTTTTAATAAGGGAGACATCCATGGGGAGTGAGGTGAAGGATGTATAAGGAAATGATTGATAATTATATTTAATGGTCATATTTATAAATTATTATAAGCAATGCTAATTATACATTTAATTACTATAACTATTACAATTTGTAAATTTTAATATTTAATTTTTTTATTAAAACAAATAAACCCAAAAGACATTTTAAAAGCCTCTGGGCCTTGTACTACTTATTTCAGGGGTTGCTGGTTAAGTGTTAAAGAACAGAGAAATGTGAGTCCTGATGATTATAATAATGTAGTTATCTAACGCAAGGGTTTTTAACGTAAGTCAGATCATGCCCCTTGGAACATCACAACTACATATTGAGAAAGCCTGGCATCAGACAGTTTGATGCCATAAGGCAGGTTTTTATTTCTGCTATCAACAAGTTTTAGTCCTTGGTGCCACCAGCTTTAAGAGTGGAGCTGATTTTAACGAGGAAGCCTCAGCAGTGACCTAAGCCCCTTCCAGAACTCAGCAGGGGATTGAATTGCTTTCATGAGCTCAGAAGCTGAAACCTCTGTGCCCAGCATGTTTGCACAGACAGAAGGGTTAGGCAGCTTCAATTTCCTTTTCTCAAACAGATGGCGAGATCCTTCATCTTTGTTGGATTTGGTCTTAGATACACTAGGCAAACTTGCTATTTAAAGGAATCCTTTGGTAAAGAGAACACTCCTTTTGTAGACTGAATCAATTTATCAATCATTATTTCATGAGTAATCTATATGCTCATCAATGATTTTATTATTAACTAATTAAAATTTATTTTTTATCTAAGTCTAGGTTTTCCTATGTCAGACGTACTTAAGTGAGATACACCAGTTTGCCCTTCTACTGAGGGATGCAGTTCCCTTGTGAAGGCTTATAATAAGGGCTCTATTGTTTTTATTTGATTTGATTTTCCCAAAGGGCCATAATTAGTTTATTTTTATTCTGAACATAACAAAAAACAAATAAAATGGGCATTTCCACGTGCAGCATAGAAGAGAAACATATTACACCAAGGAAGCCGTGATTCTCTGATCTGTAGTTACATTGTCTTAGACAAACACACACAAAATTAAAAAAGCTTTATGGAGTAGTGAATAGATACTGGTGGTCTTGGAGGGAGGAAGACTGAAGTTCAAGACCCATCTCTGACATATCCTGGCAGTGTGACCCTGGACAAATCACTTAACCTCTCAGTGTCTTGGTAATTAAGGCTATAAACTGCAAAAAGAGTGTCAATCAGCACTGGTAGTAGTTTTTCTTCATTAAGAGTACTCACTCACAGGTCCATTCTTTCCTTCCCCCCAAGTCGATTACTGTACTGTATGAAATTGACAGAGCTGTTGGTGTGTCAGCCCAAAAGGTCCATGGGAATGATCTAGCCCAATTCCTTCATCTTCCCAAAGTGAAAACTGGAAGTCACACACCGAGCTGAGATTCAATCCCAACACCAATTCTGGTGTTCTTTCCGTTACAGCATGGTGGCCCAGGACAGTTCTCATGCCTTGCTATAACATGTAGTCCTCTGTTTTCATACCTCCTGTCATATTTAACTTCAATAGATACCACCTTCTAGAATATAATGTTTTCTGTATATTTCCCAAAATAGGTTTCAAGGGAACTTTAATAAATAACTTTTTATAATGATAACTCACGTTTTTATAGAGCTTTAGAGTTTACAAAATGCTTTCCTTATGATGATCCTGTGAAGATCACAGTATATATATTATCATACGATTTTAATCAATATTTTTTTTTAGGCAATTGGGGTTAAATGACTTGCCCAGGGTCACACAGCTGGTAAGTGTCAAGTGTTTGGTCTGAGGCTGGATTTGAACTTAGGTACTCCTGACTCCAGGGCCAGTGCTCTATCCACTGCAATCAATAACATGATAAGCATTTTAAGAGCCTGCTATGTGCCAGACACTGGGTATGCAGAGACAAAAAATAAACAGCCCATTTCCTCAAGGAGCTTTGACAGCAAACAACATACATGCATACAAGTACATACATAATACGTACAAGTTAATTTCAGGCAGTGATGTGCAGATACTAAGAAGCTAGGAGGCATCAGAAAGACTTTCACATGGGAGAAGAGTATTTGAGATGAGCTTTGAAGGAAGCTATGGATTCTAAGATGCAGAGGGAATGAGGGGGTACATTAAAGCAAAGGCATGGAGATGAGGATTTAGGGATGAAGAAATTGAGTCTCAGGAAAAGTGTTGGTGTGTCCAAGGTGACACAGATAATAGGTTTGCAAATAAACTCAGGCTTGAACCCAGCTTTCCAGATTATTTGTATTCTGAACTTGACAATTATGACAAAAATAAAACTTGGGGGCAGCTAGATGGTGCAGTGGATAGAGCACCGGCCCTGGATTCAGGAAGACCTGAGTTCAAATCTAGCCTTAGACACTTGACACTTACTAGCTGTGTGACCCTGGGCAAGGCACTTCATCTATTACCTCACCAAAAAAACCCCCAAAAAACAAAACTTGACAATTAACAAAAATAAAACGGGCATTTCTATATATTCTTTCCATTATAGCACACCTCCTTAGCTAAAGAATTCTGATTATTCTTTTTTTTTCCAGCTAGGCAATGGGGTTAAGTGACTTGCTCAGGGTCACACAGCTAGTAAGTATCAAGTGTCTGAGGCCAAATTTGAACTCAGGTCCTCCTGACTCCAAGGCTGGAGCTCTATCCACTGTGCCACCTAGCTGCCCCCAAAATACTTTTTTTTTTTTGGCTAGGCAATTGGGGTTAAGTGACTTACCCAGAGTCACAACACAGCTAGGCAGTGTTATGCGTCTAAGGCCCGATTTGAACTCAGGTCCTCCTGATTCCAGGGCCAGTGCTTTATCCACTGCACTACCCAACTGCCCCAGAATTCTGGTTATTCTTGAGAATAGCACATGTGCAGTACTGGCACTGGCGCAGCAGTGGGTGCTTATGAAATGTTTGTTGATCGACTGTCTCACGGAATCACATGGAATCACAATTTGGGAGTTGGAAAGAACCTGCTTGGCCATCTATTTCAACCCATACCTGAAAGAAATGCTTACTACAAATCTCCTTGACAAATGGTCATTCAGTCTTGGTTTGAAGACCTCCATGAAGGGGAAACCCATTACTTACCTCCTGAGGCAGCCCCATCCTCTTTGGGACAGCTCTAATTGTTAGGAAGTTTTTCCTGACCTCAACTCCAAATTTTCTTCATGCTTTCTACCCATTATGCCTAATTCTACTCTGCTGCCTCTGTGGCAGCAAGGTGGTACAATGGATAGAGCATTGGGCCTGGAGTCAGGAAGACCTGAGCTCAAATTCA